CGGCCCTTCATTCCGCCTAGCAGCCGCAGCCCCTGCCGCGCCGGCCCCCGGACTAGCCCAGGTCCGGGCAGCGCTCCGGGCCAGCGCTACCCCGCCGGCGCCCCGGGACACGTGCCTCCGGCTCCGGGACCCCAGTCTGGGGTCCTGCGCCCCCCTCCCCGCCCCCAGCCGCGGCCGCCGCGCCTCGGGAACCAGGCTCTGGCGCCCAGCACCGCCCTCACCGCGCCCATTGGACGCCGCCGCGGTGACTGCAGCGTCCATTGGTGCGCGAGCACATCCGTCTCAGGCACAGGCACCGCCCCCTTCCTGCTTGCATCCGTGGGGCGTTCTTAAAGGGGCAGAGGCCGTCGCGCCAACCCTGGACGGAGGCGAGGGCGGAGGCGGAGGCGGAGGCGGGGCGGGGGGCTGAAGATCCGAGTCAGTTCTCGGGTCAGTGCCGCGCATCTTGGCAAGACATACAACCCCTGTTTGAGCTTCATTCTGCTCATCTGTGAAATGGGGATAAACACCTCTATGCGCGCACTCTCACCTTGGGGGCTGTTGGGAGGACAACACTAAATGGTATTTCCTTAAGGAGCTCAGGCTTGCAGGTCAGGGCAGCCAGACTGCCGGATAACCCACTCTGAACCGCTAGTTACTTCTGTAGACCCGAGACCCCGAAGGGGAGCGACGTGTCCAAGAGCACACAGAACCTCCGCCCCGCTACACCGCCCCTGCACCTGGTCTGTCTAATCCCGGGAGGGTGGCCTGGTGCATACAGGAGGAACTCAATAACGGCTAGGTTAACTGCTGAGAGAGCAGGGCCACTGGGAGGAGTCCCTCCTCCCTGCACCTTCTGCTAGAGCATGATAAGGTGCCCACGGCCCCAGGAGAAGGTGGCAGCATTGATTAGAAGGGTTTTTATGGCTCATGTTTTAAAAGAGGGGGCACTTACTCCTTTTTACTCTGTTTTATTTTCTTCCCAGCAGTTACCCCCTTCCAGAATGATCTTGTTCATTCTTTTGCTTCCCCCCTTCCCCCCATTTTGCTCCAGCCTGGAAAGAATTTTGTCTGTTTTGTCCTCACCACCTCCTTGAATGATGCTTAAGGCCCTATGGGAGTTCAATAGATGAATGAATAATTGAATGAATTAATGAATAAATGAGCAGGACACTGGCTTTTGGAGGTAGCTAACACTGGAGAAGGTAACTGGCTTTTGGCGGTAACTTGTCAGATAGGTGCTCTGAGGTCACCTCCTACTGGAAGCCATCCCTGACCTCCCCATGGCAAGGCCAGGTGTCCTGATTGGCCGCAGTCTTGGTAAAATGAACCTCCACTTCATAACTGATTCACTTGTGTCTGTGCCATCAGTTGACTTTTGCCTCACCCGGTAGACTGGAAGACCCCCAAAATCTGAGAAGGGTACATTGTTTCTTATTGTTTTAGTCCTGAGGCCTACATACTGCATGGCACAAAACAGGGGGAGGTATTCAGGGAAATCATTGTGGAAAGAAGGAAGGAAGGAAGGAAGGCGGGGAGGAAGGAAGGCTGCCCAGTCAGAAGAGGTGGGGGGGGGGGGAGGACTTCCCTGGTGGCGCAGTGGTTAAGAATCTGCCTGCCAATGCAGGGAACACAGGTTCGATCCCTGGTCTGGGAAGATCACACCTGCTGCGGAGCAACTAAGCCTGTGTGCCACAAATACTGAGCCTACGCTCTAGAGCCCGTGAGCCACAACTACTGACCCCGCGTGCTGCAACTACTGAAGCCTGTGCACCTAGAGCCCATGTTCCGCAACAAGAAAAGCCACAGCAATAAGAAGCCAATGCACCGCAACGAAGAGTAGCCCCCGCTCACTGCAACTAGAGAAAGCCCGCGCACAGCAATGAAGACCCAACACAGCCAAAAATCAATCAATCAATAAAATTTAAAAAAAAAAGAATCCACCTGCCAATGCAGGGAACATGGGTTCGAGCCCTGGTCTGGGAAGATCCCACATTCCACGGAGCAACTAAGCCCTGCACCACAACTACTGAGCCTGCGCTCTACAGCCCGTGAGCCACAACTACTGAGCCCATGTGCCACAACTACTGAAGCCCGCACGCCTAGAGCCCGTGGTCAGCAACAAGAGAAACCACCGCAATCAGAAGCCCGCGCCCTGCAACGAAGAGTAGCCCTGGCTCGCCGCAACTAGAGAAAGCCCACGCACAGCAGCAAAGACCCAACACAGCCAAGAAAATAAATAAATAAAATTTAAACAAAATAAAAAAGGAAAACATTTTGGACCAGCCAAGTCCCTTTTGGCTTCAATGTGCAGCCCCCACCCCTTCCAGGACCCTCGTAATTGTTCCCTGGCTTCCAATAGAGCCCAAGAGACCCGTTGAAAAGCTTGGTTTCTCCAGTCTGGGCCTCTTCTGCTACAGCTTGGCAAAGCCATGCAGACAGAGCCACAGTTCTACTTTACCCAGCAGCTGCCACCCAGGCTCTTCTCAGCACTGGCTGCTGTCTGGCTCATGGAGCTCCACAATTCTTAAAAGATCAAATCCACACTATGTGCTTTCCCACCATCCTGTCTTTGCTCCTGTGATCCCCTCAGTCCTGAATGATTGTCAGCACCTGCAAAACTCCTAATCCTACCTCAAAACTCCATCCAGATGTACCTGCTTCCTGGCCTTCAGAAGTCCTCAAACCCCATTCTGTAGGTTCCTCCAGCCTTGAGTCTCTCCTCCCTCTAACCCAACATTGTTCCCTTCAGGGCTGGGATTGTCTGTGTCAGACTCTCCTTCATCCTCCAAGGCTAGGCAGGGACTGAGTATTTTCTGGATTCTCAGAATATGGGCCAAACCCAGAAGGGGTGACTAGAGGGTTTACTGAACAATTTTTAAAACTGTTGGTTGAACTATAAGAATGTACAAGATTCCTGATCATCATTTACTTTTCAATGAATGAAGGCAGGAGAGTGTGAGAGTAATAATAGAGTTTACCCTCAGTTTACCAAGGGCTTACAATGGGCCAAACTCTGTTGTAAGGCAGCGGTCCCGAAACTTTTTGGCACCAGGGACTGGTTTCGTGGAAGACAATTTTTCCACGGATGGGGGTGGGGTGGGGCAATGGTTCAGGCCGTAATGCCAGCAATGGTTCAGGTGCTAATGTGAGTGATGGGGAGTGATGGCGAGTGGCAGATGAAGCTTTGCTTGGTCACCCGCCGCCCACCTCCGGCTGTTCAGCCTGTTTCCTAATAGGCTGAGGACAAGTACTGGTCCACAGCCCAGGGTTGGGGACCCCTCTTGTAAGGAATTAACCTGCATGATTTCTTAAGGTTAAGCCACTTGCTCAAGGCTACCCAGCTAGGATGTGACAGCTGGAATTAGAACTCAGATATGCCAATTCCAGGGCTCTCAAAGAGTCTTCCATGTGCCCAAGGGTATGTGTGTATCTCTCAAGCTCTTAGCAACCTTAAGAGGCAGATGCTAGGTTCACCCAGACTCACAGTTAACAAACTGAGACACAGAAAAATCAGACATATAATATATAACATACATTTCATAAGACCCCAGAAACTAATGATAATTGTTAACACTTACCAAGCAATTACTATTTGCCCCATTTTGTTCATGCATTTAACTTGGGCTATCTCACTTAACGCATCCTCATCTCAGTATGAACTCATGGTTTTCAGTAGAGACACAAGGGAACAGATATAGAACTAAAAATAGATGTGTATATGCATGGGTTAGTAGACATACATGTATTTCCTAGCTCTGACTGCTGAGAGGGTCTCTAAGCAATAATACCTGGGTAGCAGTGAGCACACCCAGCACCCAGATCTTGGTCTCTAAATACCATTCTCCAAGAAGCAGAACCAGGCTCCTTGGAGAAATGGCTGATTCCAGGGATATTCCAAAGCAAGCACAGAACATCTTGTGATGCCAAAAGTAAGGACGTACTCACAGAAACATGGAGACATATTAAAAGGACATAGGAGCTAAATTAAAGGGGCAGTAAAATAAATAATATAGAAATTAATTATAAGGCACAGAATAAAATAAATACTCATGACTCCATAGTGATATAAATACTTGAGAAGAATGGACAGCTCTTGTTTACAACAGAATTCCAATTAGTAATTAAATTAAAAATCACCATTATGCAAACACATAGTAAGTAATCATTATTGCTGCCAAGAGCCATGAATGGATGCTAAAACTAAAGGGTGAAAAATATGTAAACAACAACAAAAAAAACCCAAGACCAAAACACCAATGGTATTTACATGGTCTCTTAAGTATCCCCCCATAGGATACTTATTAATTGCAAAGGAAAATAGTAACTTGACAGTTGAGAAGCTGGTAGACACTGCCTTAAGCAAGTAATCAAAGTTAACGTCACCAACAATGAGACATATCAACATCCCAGTGCCTCCTGATATGATGCATTGGGAAGGAAACATCACTTTTGTGGGATTCTTTCCCAAGCTGCTCAACTTCAGTCTAATCATGAGGAAATATTGAACAAACCCATAATGTTAGGTGTTCTACAAAACCAGTACTCTTCAAAAGTATTAAGGTCATGAAAGATTAAGGAAGACAGGAATTGTCACAGAGTGGAAGAGACCAAGGAGACATGACTAAATGCAATGCAGGATCCTGGCCCAGAAAAAGATTACCAAAAACGCAGCAGGGTATTTGAACCCGAGTGAATCTGATTCCCAGCCTGGAAAGCAAAACATTTGGGTCTGGATCCACCACAGCCCACTCGAGGATTATATGACCCTGTGGGAATGCTTGCCGCTCTCGGACCTCAGTCTTACTATCTATAAAATTGGTTGCTTCATCCTCCCTTCCCATTCCCCTCCCCCCTTCCGGTCTGCCTTGGAGCTCAGGCTTTGGAAACTACGCAGGCGCGAGAGAGACTGCTTGATTGGCTATTTGTTGTGATGCACCCGCAAATAGAAGCTGCATCTAAGCTCCACCCGTTCCTGCCGCGCCTCCACGCACGCAAGTCAGCCCAGGGCACGTCGCCGCCACGCGCGCTCGCACGCATGGTGCGTGGTGACGTCGTGGCGGCGCGGGCGCCATCCCGGAAGCGCGAGCAAGGCCGCCAGATGTGCAGGTGCTGCTGCCACCGACGCCGGGGCCGAGTTCGGGGTGGGGCTGGGGACGCAGGGGCCTCTGGGGAGCCGGGCCGGGTCGGGAGCGGTCCTCGGTTTGTAGCGGGGTGGGGCGCGCCGCTGGCAACATCTGGGCACCCCTCCTGCGCACAGGTCTCAGTTTCCCCGTCTGCGCGGTGGACGCGCGGGCGGCGCCATGGGCCGAGTCTGGATCCGAGGCGCGGGAGTTGGGGCCGCCTGTGTTCAGGCTGTGCCGTGTCTCCCGGAATCGGGCGTTGACCTGCTTGGGCCTCAGTTTCCCGCTTCACAGGGGCGGGGCATGAGGGGATTTGTGAGCCCCGCCCCGCCTCGCGGGTTTTGCTGAGCTTGGGCAGCCAAATTAAATTCTGTTAAATGACTTGGGTGGAGTTGCGGCGCCTCTCCGTATTGGTGTGTGACCTGAGACCACCCCTGGGAGCCTTTGGTGCCCTCGGAGATGCCCTTGTAGGGGAGACTGGGGATTAAATGAAGTGCTATATAAGTGTTTGTTCTGTATTCTTGGAAGCACTAGGGAGGCCCTCATTAGAATACTGATTCCCGGGCCCAGTCCTAGGATTTCTTCACACTCCATTTGGAGAAACTGACTGTTCCGAGCCCAGCACCTCTTAGCACTATTGGTTTTAGTCCCCACAGACAGCATTGTGAGACTCAGATTCTTTGTTATACCTATTTTCTGGGTGAGAAAATGGATCTAGGAAGTGAGGTGACTCTCCCAAGGTCACACAGTCTCCCTCTCTGCGTGTGTCCCCCATAAATATATTTGGAGCAGGGATCAGAGCCCATGCTGGGTCATTTCCACTCTGTATGTGGGCCAGATTAGCAGTTAGTCAGGGAAGGCTTCCTGTGAGAGGCAGCTGGTGGGGGAGTGTGCCTTGAATCCCTCAGCCCTCACATCTGGGAGCCAGAGACAGGAAAGAGCCCATCTTTGTAGCAGAACCATTTCCCACAGGTCCAAATCCTGCACCTGCCAGGCTCTAGCTGTGGGCTTCCCGCCACATTCTGTCCTTTGAGAGCCCAAGTGTCCTCTTTATACATGATCTTCTTTGGAAATGTGGAGGGTGTGGGTGTCCATGCCTGGCACATAGAAGGAGCTCAAACATGGTGATTGGGGAGGTGGTGGATTTCGTCAGGTGTGGCAGTTTATCTCCAGAAGGCAAGTAATGGCTGCAAACTGATAGCCAGATTCTGGGCACAAATAGATACGTACTCCTGGCCTCTATGGTGTTGGGGTAAGAAAAATATTAGTTGCTAACATTTGTAAATGAGGTGATTTCACAGGAAAAAGAAATCCATATTTCAGGTTTATTTCTGGAAACAATCAGAAGTCTGGCAGGAGTCAGGTGCTGCAAGAAGCAGCTGTCCTGTCACAGGTAGCTACTGAACGTCAGAGTCACATATTTGTGGATCCTGTGGTCTGTGGGTGTTTGAGTTGTGACCCATGTTCACTGGCTGTGTGACAACGGCCTAGTTCCTCAGTCTCTGAGCCTCAATTTTCTCATGTATAAATAAGGATGGTAACAATTGCCAGGGTTTGAAATTGGTGTCTTGTTTAGTATACAGTAGGTGCTCAATAAAGAGGAGGGTAGTTAAGTGGGCTCCGAAAGCCCTTCCTGATCCTGTGTGTGAATCTTAACCAATTGCAAGTGGGCCTTTCAGTCGACGATTAAACGTGCAGACCTCAGAGCCAAGCTATGTCAGAATTCTGGGTTTTTTCTGAACCTCCTTAGGAGGGTCAGTGCTGAAGCTGTGGTCCCTCCTGCCCTAGCATGGTCCAGGAAGTCCCCACCTGCTGGGATAGCATCTGTGTGCCAGGGAAGCTGGGAGCCAAGAGCCACAGAGCCATCTGGGTTGCTGGGGCCCACAGCCTGGCTGCCAGTGCCTGAAATTCTTGGCTTTAACTTGCTGATATAAGTCTAGCTTCAGAGCTGAGTTTGAAAGGTTCTGTTTGCCTTCATCAAACTAAATTCGGGCAATCCCTTGCTGTGAACAAGGTTCTGGGCTGGGCTCTGGAGACAGAGCAGCGAGCAAGAAAGAACACACGCCTCTGTTCTATTGGAGCTAATGTTGCTGTGGGGGTGACAGGCAAAAGGGTTAACTGATAACTAAGATAATTTCAGGAAGCGATGAGACAGTGGAGCAATTAAAAAAAGGTGAAGTGATGAGTGACCAGAATAGGGGTAGTCATCAAAGACCTCTTGGGAGAAAAGGCATTGGAGGGGGTGATGATTTGAGGGGGCAGCCAGGAGGAGGGGGGCAGGTCTATGCAGGAGGAAGGTGCCTGTAGCTTTGGGCACATGGAGAGGGGCAGGTGTGGAGGTGGGAGGGGTGATGGGATTGTGATGTGCTTGGGTGCAAGTTATAAATAGGAACTCCTGTGGTTCTCGAAACACCCCCGAGTTCCTGGCATGACAAAGCTGAGGCTCAGGTGGCATGACCCACTTATGGACAGGTGGCCTGTGGGGTTCCCAGCCCCTCCTCTCCATCCCACCTCCCCCCACTTCCTGATGCAGACTGAAAACACTTTCTTCCTGCCTGTTTCAGGCAGCGGAGGAGGAGGAAGAGATGGACCCCCCGGACTCGGCCTCGAGGGTCTTCTGTAGCCGCATCCTGAGCATGGTGAATGCGGACGATGTCAACGCCATCATCCTGGCCCAGAAGAACATGTGAGTGGAAGCCAAGGGCCCTGGGCCCCCGGTATGGGAAGGAATCCACTTGCTGGCCAGCATTCTTGCCCTGCCCGCCTCTACCCCGGGCCCACACTGGTGATAAAATGAAGGAAATGAGCAAATTTGCTGGCTGGCTCCAAAGTAAATTCCTTCCTGGTCTGAAGGCGAGGCCTTGGCACAGGAAGCAGGGCTCTGGGACAGTTTCGCAGCTGCGGACAGTTTGGCGGGGACCACAGCAGCTCCTTTCCCGAGGCCTGGGGTGGGGAGACTTGAGGGGGATAAGGAAGGAACTGCTGGGGGATTTAAGGGAGCCAGTCGGCTCACTTCCTGTTGGGAACCTGTTCTCTCAGAGCCTAGGCTGTCTCTGTGGAGCACCCAGGGTCACTTGGAAGGGCTGTGAATGGCCTTTGCCCTCTTTGGGGCTTGGCACTGTGTCCACCATAGCCTCACCCTAATTCCGGCCTGCTCTGTGGGGAAGAAGGGCTGACACAACCTTCGGGGGGAAACATGGTCTCCTGGGGCTTTATTTTTGTGTCTTTAAGCCAAAGGCTCGTCCTTCCATTTACAACACAGCACAGACCTGATACCTTACCTTTCTTGCCCTGTGACAGTGGTGCTGAATATGTCTGGGTCTCAGCATACCCATCTCTCTCCTAGGTCTTTAGTTCAGATTCAGACCTGACCCTGGGGAACTCCCAGACCGAGGGGAGACAAAATCAGACTTGAACCTTCCTGGTCTCGGGCTGTCAGGGCTGGGCAAGAGAAAGAAGCTGGGGCTAGGGGAGTCAGAGTGTCAAAGAGTCTACTTGAGGGAGAGGGTTAAGGCTACATGAGAAGGGTACACTTGAGTAGGATTTTTGAGTAGGGTTTTGAAAGTTGAATAGGAGTTTGCTAGCTGGCTCAAACACCAGGTAGAGCTCCACAAGACAAGGGAATGGTCTACGCAAAGGTCATGGAGCAGGAAAGGGCCTAGCAGGATCAGTTGGCAGGGACCTGGAGGCTGAGCAGAGGAGTCGGTGCCCTTTTTCCGCCACCAGGCTGGACCGCTTTGAGAAGACAAACGAGATGCTGCTCAACTTTAACAACCTGTCAAGTGCCCGCCTGCAGCAGATGAGCGAGCGCTTTCTGCACCACACAAGGACCCTGGTGGAGATGAAACGGGACCTGGACAGCATCTTCCGCAGGATCAGGTGGGTGCTTGGCTCTCCAGTCTCTGCCTCCTGCTCTGAGCCTCTGAGCCTGAAAAGAGGGTTCCTCCTCTTTTCAATAAGGGCTGTCCTCTCCACATAGCAGGGCGGTGGGGAGATTCAGCTTGTTTTACGAGGCTTCATTGCACACTTAGTATTAGAGACGATCTGAAAATCTTGGAGTTTCTGAATTTAAATTTTATTCCTTTTTTGAAAATGCAACATAGTGCCAGACCCATAATGCAAAAGGCAGGCAGGAGCAGACAGTGAAAGGCTAGCCTTATGTCCCCCTTGGCCTCCACCCAGGACTTCTCTCAAGAGGAAAATGAGATTGCCAGATTTTGCGGGTCCTTCTCAAGCTGGTTTCCATGAGGACAGAGAAAGACGATGTCCAAGTCCCCAGCCACATAGAATGCTTGACACGGCCCCCGGAGCTCCTATCACCACTGCTGCCGTTAACAACTGCTGCTGGGGCGCCGAGGCCTGGAACAAGCTGGCACTACAGCTGTATTTCTGGCTGACTGTGCTGCTTCTTCTTTTCCGGGGGCAGCCGCATCTGCTGGCAGAGCAGGTGCCACAGATTGAGGGCAACATGTTTCCTTGGAGCATGCTCTGTGCAGAAATCACAAGACAGGCCGGATAAATCCTTTATCAAAGCGTATCTTTTCTGGGGCATCTCACCAGGCTGGTTGCCCACGTGTGGTGTTGCAGGGGTGGGAGTAGAGTAGAAACCACAAGGGTTGACACCTTTTGTGTGTATCTGTGTCACTCAGGAAGGAGATAAGTGTGTCCACCCAGGCAGGGATGCAGCAGCAGTGGTACTTCGGGGGGGGGCGGGGGTTGGGGGGGACAGTGCTGGCTGGCCATAGTCAAGGGTGAGAGACTGCTCTGAAGAGCCTTTTGTAATTCTTTGTAAACAGAACTGCGTTACTTCAGGTAAAAAGGAAAAACCAGGTTAAAAAGGGAAGCAGGTGCTTCTCTGTGAAGTTCAGTTTAGTGAGTGCCAGTGTTCGGTGTTTGGGGTGTGGATAGTCAGCACTCCTGGCCCCCACAGACATCCTCACCCCGGGGATGGAGAGACAGGCTAGGACAAGTCACCCAGAGGAGTGCCTGTTGAGGCAAGGGGAAGGGAAGCTTCCTGGAAGGTTGTCCTGGTAGAAGAGGTTTAGACATGAGGCATTGCAGGTAGAGGGCCCAGCCAGCACGCAGAGCCAGCACCAAGGACACGCAGAAGTTGGGTGACAGCTGGGTAGCTGCCATCCGTCCCGGGGGTGGGAGGTCCGCCGGCTGAGTGCCCAGTCCTACCTCCAGCCCTGGAGCAGAGTATGACAAGCAGTGACGGGGAGGTTCCTGGCCTGCACCAGGCCCAGCCTGCACACTCTGCAGGTTCAGCCCTGTGTGCCTTCCCTTCCCCTGCAGGACACTGAAAGGGAAGCTGGCCAGGCAGCACCCGGAGGCCTTCAGCCGTAAGTGTCACCCAGAGCTCCTACATCCCGCTTCTGGGCTCTGTGCCCTTGGATGCCAGGGCCCTCAGCCCAGGGCTGGCTTCTGGAAGGTCACCTCAAGGGCTGACACCAAGCCCGGGCCCTAGTGGGCAGTGGGTCCAGTAAGACCTGGGGCAGGGGCGGGAGTGCTGGCCTGATCTTCTTGGCAACCTGCGGAGCAGGTGTTGGGACTAGAGCCTCCTCCCTTGGGGGAGGTCACACGAGGGAATGTGGACAAGAATGATGACAGTCCTTAGCCCATTGAATGTCACGTACCCCTACGAGCCAGGCTGTTACCCACAAACACCTATGAGGTGGGGACTGTGCCCAGAGGGGCAGTGACTTGTCAGAGGAAGCACAGCGTCCTCCATGCTGAGCTTCAGTTTACCCAGTCTGCAGAATGGGCCAACAGCTCCCCACTCCAGGGCCGCTGACAACCACAGGCATAAAGGCAATGCCATCATTCCCAGTTTATAGAGCAGGGAGCTGAGACACGGGCAGGTGAGGGGCCTGGCCCAGGTGACACAGTCAAGAGGGCAGAGCCAGGCTCAGACTTGCCCCCAGGGCCCACATAGGCCTAACCCCAGAGAACCTGAGTCTTTACCTTACCTCACCTTAAAGAGAGGCCTCTCACCTGCTTGGACCTCGGTTTCCTCATCTGTAAAATGAACCAAGTTATGTCCCATGGGGTGGGGGTAGCTGTCAGGGGTCCCGGGCCTAGTTAATCCCTCATCACAGTGCCTGGCATGGTGACTAAGCCAACTCCTGGGCCTCCTTCCCCCAGACATCCCGGAGGCGTCCCTCCTGGAAGACGAGGATGAAGACCCCATCCCGCCCAGCACCACAACAACCATTGCCACCTCGGAACAGAGCACAGGCTCATGTGACACCAGCCCCGACACAGTCTCGCCCTCCCTCAGCCCCGGCTTCGAGGACCTGTCCCACGTCCGGCCCGGCTCCCCTGCCATCAATGGCCACAGCCATACAGATGACGAGGAGACGCCGGGCGAGTAGCCCTACTCCCAGGAGCTCGGACAGGTCTCAGGGCAGCAGCGGTGCCACTGCCCAGATGTCTGAGGTGGCAGTGGGTAACCCTGCCTTGAGACAGTCAGCTTTGCCACCCTACCTGTCATTTGGGGCTCACTGGGGGACAAGTCTCCCTCCCTGGGGTATGGAATTCCTGGGGATCTATCATTCCCCCTCCTTCCTCACTGAGAACATCTCTCTTCTGTAGACCCCTCTGCCAGGCCAGGGGATGACCAGTCCAGCTGGAGTCGGGTTGGGTGCAGAGCCAGGCCTGAGGTCTGCTCTGAGCAACACCTAAAGGTTCCCAGAGACCAGAGCCAGATGTCCTCTGCCCCAGCACCCTGGTCAGGACCTCCTCAAGGTGGCCAAGCACTGTCATGTCTGAGTTCACCCCAGCCCACCCCTGTGCCTACTAATTCTGGTCTCCTTGCCCCTTACTCCAATGACAGTATTGAATACTTTCTCCAATCATTATCTCAAAGAGGTTTCTGAGACAGTTGTAGAAGCCTCAAGGCAGAGATTAGCCATCCCCTCAGCACCGAGCCTGGTTAGGCCCTGTTTCTCGGACCAGAGGTGTGGACCCTGAGGGCCCAGCAGGCTTCTCCTGGGGCCTCCGTGGAGCAAGCCGAGCCACCTTGGAGAACAGAGTTAAGCAGAATATTTTTGTACCCGATGTTTACAGATGCTGTTGGGAAGTTATCAATAAAAAGACTCTGTTACTAAAAAGGGAAGGGTGCACCTAGCAGTGGCTTGCTTCCATCCTTGGGCCCAGCAGTCCAGAATGGGGGCAAGTGCTGGATGTGGGACAGGATGGTTATGGACAGCCAGGCACCACTGAGCTGGAAAGAAGTGGGCTGCTGTGCTTTGAGTGGGAGTCTCCAGTGGTGGCAACCATAATAACCCCACTTCCTGTCACCAACCAGGCCTTCAAATGTCCTATTCCCAGTGCCCACAACATTATTCCTTTACCTCCTTGAGTAACTCCTCCTCCAAATCTCAGCCCTAAGGTGGGCTCCTCAAGGAGCTGGGGTCTCATTCCCTATCAGACACTCTCACAGAGTCCCCTCATCTTTGGAGCACTTAGAAATTATGTTATTAAAGGCCTCTTCCCAGACTTCAGAGTGTCTGCTTTTGCCTGGTCCATAGGGGGCGCCGGGAAGTGTTCAAGGAAATAAGGTACGCTGCCAAACCCGCAGGTAACTTCTCAGTTCTCACCGCTTTCCGGCGCCCAGCACTTTTTAGCCATCCTTGAGTCTCCTCCGTCTTATATCCTAAACAGACCCTGGGTCCCACCCCATTTACTTGGGTGAATGCACCAGCCCCACCTGCTCTCCGTGCTCCTGTACGGACCCGCCCTTTAATCCATCTGTGCACAGCGGCCGGCCTCCAGTGGCTCCAACACGTTCGGCCCTTACGCCGCCTCCTGCCTCGACCCTTGCGTCTTGGACCCTCAGACCCTCTGCTTAATGCCTCCACTTTAGCACAAAACAGTTTCCCCTACTCTGTTGAAATATTTCCGGAGCACCCGCTACGTGCGGGCAGTCTTCAGGCGGCCTGGAAACAGTGAGCAGAAACACCAGGAAAGGTGCGGCATTATTCCTACGTGACGCGACGGGCGGAGCTCGCACCCCGAGGCAGGTGGGCACCAGCCGCTCACAGGCGCCCCGGCTTCGTGCACCCGCACGCAACATAGGGGCGGGGCGGGGCGCGGCGCGGATTGTGACGCAGGCGCGCAGCGTGCTCGGTGCGCAGGCGCCCTCGGCGGCGAATCGGCGGTTTCCGGTTCAACCGCCCTCTTTCTCGTCAACGAGACGACGGAGCAGGTAGGTGATGGCCCGGCCAGGGTTGGGCGGTAGCCTGCGGGGGCCCAGGCAGCGGAGAGGGCGGCCTGGAATCCGTCTAGGCGAGCTAGGCCCTGTGGGGCGGCTTAGCAAGGCACACTGGGCCGGGTTCCGAGCCCGAACTGGGCCCCGGCCGGCCTTTGGAAGAGGAGCCTGCCCGCTCCGCCGGCCCCAGCTATCTGACGAGGCTTTGGGGCGAGGATGTGTCCTTCGGGGCAGATCCGATTTAATGGGGAGGAGTATTAACTGTAACTTTGTCTCGTGGCAGACACTCTGCCAGTCCATTTAAAAATATTAAGCCTTTGAGTTGGGTCTCTCTCCTTTTCTACATCTGTAAGTAGAGTTTGGTAGTAGCAGCCGTTTTCTAGACTTGGAAAGTGAAAAAACGGAAATACCTGTGTAAACAAGTATCAGGCACGTGGTTGGCAGTTGTTACTTATGGATTGGATCAAAGGCAGGAAATGTGGTCTGAGGATTAGGGCGTAACCCAGAAGGAAGCCAAAGTTTTGGGTGTCTGAGCTTGGAATTAGGAGAAGGGACTGTAGGGAGGAAAGCTTGTGTGTTGGGGGGCTGCTACTAAGATGGGATTCCTACCCCGGCTGCAGGAAGACTGGGGGCTGGCGGAGGAGAGGAAGGATGGGACCTCCAGACCGTTCTTGGCAAGGTGGTGCCGTAGACCTGTACTTTTCGTTCCATCTTTAAAGACGAAGCTGCTGGCTTGCAGGGTGGAAGGAAACAGGCACTGGGGCAGGCCTGCATTTGAAGTCGATGCCGGCACAGGGCTGTCAGGAACTAAGGCTGGCCAGCCTGTGAGCTCGGGCTGCTCAAACCTTCAGTGCTCACTACTCCATCCGGCCATTCTCCCCCCTGTCTCCCCAGCAGACGCAGAGATGCAGATCTTTGTGAAGACCTTGACGGGCAAGACCATCACTCTAGAGGTCGAGCCCAGTGACACCATTGAGAATGTCAAAGCTAAAATCCAAGACAAGGAGGGTGAGTTGGGTTGGGGCTGGGTGCTCCGCAAAATGGGGGCCCTTCAGCCCTGAGGATCTGCTGTCCCTTGTGGAATGGGTGCTTGGACAGATCTCAGCCATGCCAGTGCTTCCCCTGTGTGATCTTGGGAAGGCAGCTTGTCCTCTCTACCTCATTTTCCCTTTTGACAGTTGGGTGATCCTGGCACAGCCCTGTGGAGGGAGGGGAGATCTGCTGATAGTATTCTTCCCAGAGCTTTAGTAACTGAAGTGCTCTCTTCTTAGGCATTCCACCTGACCAGCAGCGTCTGATTTTCGCGGGCAAACAGCTGGAGGATGGCCGCACTCTGTCAGACTATAATATCCAGAAAGGTATGGGGGTGGGGTGGCTAGACAGGACCTCAGTGAGGCCTAGGACCCAGGATGGGTAGCTGACAGCCTCTTCAGCACCGGGAGGGGGCTGTAGAGGAGTATTGTTCTTAAGGTGAGGATCACATAGGGCTAGGGAGTATTGCTTTGTAAGGTACTGTTTCCATCGCTGGAAAGCATCTCAGGATCTCCACCAGGATTTCCAAATGGTGATGGTTTCTCATGTTCTTATTCACTTTTTTTCTTTAATTCTTGTGTTTCTCAATGTGGTTACTGTAAAGAAAATCGGCACCACTTTTTGCAGCAAAAGACTTAAATGTCTTACCTAGGAAAATAAAAGGTCGTCCTTGCACCACTTAGAAATTGCCTTGCCCTTGGGGAAACCCAGATGGACACCACTGTTGATGTATATTTATATTAGTCTCAGACTCCCCGAGGACTGGTGGGAAATGACAACGTGGAGGTTCTGTGGGGTGGGCTGGGCTGGTGTGTCCATCTACACATAGAACACGCAACGGATTCCGATGTGTCCCTGTCACACATGAGAAGCTCTGGTCTGCAGGGCACTGGAGGCTGCCCTGCACCTGTGGGACTGAGGTGGTGAGCCTAGGCTCAGTCACTGTCTCTCTCTGCCCTTCGTTTCCTATAGAGTCCACCCTGCACCTGGTGCTTCGTCTGCGAGGTGGCATCATCGAGCCTTCCCTTCGCCAGCTCGCTCAGAAATACAACTGCGACAAGATGATCTGCCGCAAGTATGTACTCTTCAGATTGGGGGTGTGGGCTGGCCCTGGTGGGGGTCGGGATGTGCCCTCACCACTCGCTCGTGTCCTCGCACAGGTGTTACGCTCGCCTGCACCCCCGTGCTGTCAACTGCCGCAAGAAGAAGTGCGGCCACACCAACAACCTGCGCCCCAAGAAGAAGGTCAAATAAGGCCCCTCCACCGGCTTCTTCTTTGCCCGCAGGGTGGCCTCCTGCCTAAGCCCCATGGCCCTGGGGCCTCAGTAAAGTTTCCCTTTCGTTGACTGGAGCAGTAACTGGTGTCCATATGGTTGGTCTGTCCAGTGGGGAGGTGGCCGAGGTGCGGGCATCTCCCTTAGGGAGTTCCTGTCACTCAGTTCTTCATAGCTCTTGGGGGTCCTCTCTCCTGGGTTCCAGTTGTCTTACCAGTAAAGTGGGCCATGGTCTCTGCCCTTCATGTCTAAAGTTGTCATAACCACAGCACAGGCAAGTCTCACTCCTGGCCCTCTGCCACATAGCCTAAGTGAGCCCGACCATCTGGATTTTGTCATCTGTAATATGGGAATAAAGACCTCAGCCTAGGGACTGGTGGGACCTGGTCAGGCACATTAACAACCCTCACATCTGGGGCCTGGAGGTGTTCGGGTGTAGGTGGATGGCGGGGTAGGAAGGAACACCCCACCTAGCGTAAAATACCTGTTCTCAATTTTGACTGACCTTTAGGAGCTCCTGGGTCCCACCCAAGACTGATGTCTGCCAGGTGAGGGCTGGTAGTGCCCTGACAACACCATGTTTCTGCTTGTCTTGGGGTGATTGGGGCTTCCTGTAGGTGACAACCCAGGCCTAGACAGTGATGCTTGAGAACAGCTGAGACCTGGAGTGCCAGCTAAAGGCTGTCACTTCAGGCCTCAGTTGAGTTTCATTTTTGTCAGTTGCCCCCTCCTCCCTAAGGCCAGGCCACCACCATCTTTCTGGTCTACCCTGTGTCCACTCCTGGAGGAGGAAGGGAGGAGGAAGCTTCCTGAAGCTCAAACTAGGCAGTTTTATGTCCAGGTCCCAGGCCTTCTCTGTACTTAATAGGAACCCTCCCACCCCCCACCCTTGACCTCAGGCCTGCACCAGACTCCCACCTCAGGGCCTTTTGCACAGGCCCCCCTCTTCAAAGCAGTTCACACAGAACCTGTGGGTGCCAGTGACTTGAATTCTCCAGTGTCAGAACCTGAGTTCAAATCCCACTCTTGTCACAACCTTGTGGCATTAGATGATGGCTATCAGCTATCACTTCTTGGATTCAATTTTCTTTATATTAGTGGGGATGGGATGTGAGGAAGTGAAGTCGGGTTTTGTTTTTTTTTCTCTGTACGCGGGCCTCTCACTGTTGTGGCCTCTCCCGTTGCGGAGCACAGGCTCGGCAGCCATGGCTCACGGGCCCAGCCGCTCCGCGGCATGTGGGATCTTCCCGGACCGGGGCACGAACCCGTGTCCCCCGCATCGGCAGGCGGACTCTCAACCACTGCGCCACCAGGGAAGCCCTGAAGTCGGGTTTTGACATAGCTGCATAGAAACAAGCCGAAGGACAGCCTTGCTGTATACAGAACCGTACATTTAAGGTCGAAAACGTTAAGGCAGGCGCCGGTCGGGAACAAGCACAGGGGTGGAGGTGGGTGGAGGGTGTCAGGCCTGAGAAGCCCCCAGTCTTCGCTCCCCATTTTTCCCCCGGGGTCTCCAGGTTAGCTGGCCGCCACAAGCTGGCTCCAGAGGCCTCCGGGCCTGCAGGGGGCGCCAGGCGCAGCGGAGCAACCTGCTCCAGGGTGGGACCAGAGCTGCGCAGTCATGATCATCACTGAGGCCGCGGCAGAGTCTGCTGTCCCCGCGGTGCCCGGTGATGCGGAAACCACTGGAGCCCCGGAGCGCGAGCAGCTGGTGTGGCCCTGGGTGAGCTCGAGCCCGAGCGGGAACAGGCGCGGGGCGGGCGGTGCAGGCGCGGGGGCGCCGGCTTCATACCCTAGCCGTGCCCCTCGCCCCGTAGAAAGATGCCGCGATACGGGCGCTGGTGCAGCGCATCCACCAGTTGCAGGCTGAGCGCGCGCAGGCCTTCCGCCGGCTGGAGGAGTAAGTGAGGGCATAGGGGAGGGGAGGGGTCAGCCCACAGCCCGCTCCGGGGATGAGCGTGCCTTGGGGGAGGAACTGGGTCCCCACAGGGCCGCGGTGTCAGAGGTGGGGCGGGATTTGCGGGGAGACCAGATCGCTCCCTTCCGCGTGCGCAGGGGTGGGCCCGTCTCGGGTTACCCTGCGGGAGTCAGAACGTCCTCCACACTCTGGGGTTTAGGGGACACTTGGAGGGCTTTCAGGTGGTCGATGCGGGTGCAGGGCCTGAGAGCCGGGGCCGTAGCCTCAGGATCCCCGCCTGCCGCAGAGGCCACCGACAGTACCTGAGCAACGGCCCGCCCTACGACTTTCCGCGCTACCGGAGCACAGTGCACGAGGTGACCCAGGCCTTCGCCGCCGCCTCGCAGGAGGTGCTGGCGGTGGAGGCCGAGCTAGCCGGACCCCGAGCGCAGCCGCTGCTCGCGAGCCACGTGCGCAGGCTGCAGCAGCTGGAGGAGACGCGCCTGGCCACGGTTAGGTCCCGCCCCCCTCCATGTATCCCCCTACTCCTCGGCTTGTCTCTCGGGCCTTGGCCCACTGTGCACCCCTTGGGGGAGGGGCCAGATTCCGTCCCCTCGAACCCCGCCCCTGGCGCCCCAGCACCCCCTCTTCCTGCCCCACCTCAGTCATCCACTAAGTTCACTCGAGAGTCTCAGGGTTAGCCCCCTCCTGTCCGCCCCCACTTTTCATCCAGATCTTTAGTCCCAGGACACGCCCACTCTATCCCAGAGCCCGCCCCTACAATGCTCCTACCCCGCCCTGGCCTGTCCCAACGCCCCAGGCCAGGTACTCAACCCCCTGCTGATTGGGGGCCTTGGATTTCCAGGCCAGGTCCCCTTCCGGGTACACCCTCGATCCCAGCCTAGGTTCTGGGCCTGTTCCTCCCGCAAGGGATCCAAGGCCCAGCCTACTCTGCCTCTACAGCCAATCCTGACCAAGATACACTACCATTCCCAGGCCAACTCCACGCGAAGCCACGCCCACATCACACTCTACGCTGGAATTCCCAGGCCACGCTGCTTTAGAGACCCAATCCCAGTCGAGGTTTTTGGCCTACTTCCCACCCTGGGATTGTAACTCCCTGGCAGGTCCCTGAGACTCCGCCTACTTCACAACCCTCACAACCCAACCACCCCACCCCACCCCCGCCCCCGCCCACCTATCCCTGCCTGAGATTTCACCACTGTTCCCCTTCCCCGCCTACATGAGGCCATGACCATGTTGCGCTCTGCACTGATTCTAGGGCCCGCCCACTCGGCCCCTCTCCTCAGGAGCCCCCCTAAACCTAATCCTAGATTCCTCCTGCGCGAAGTACCGCCCCTTGAGACCCGCACCTGCTGTGGCCCCATCCTTGCGCTGCCTTTCCCGGTGCTTCAGTGTCTCTTCTTCCCTACTATGTGGGAGGGCAGGGGGTGGCCTCTGCCAGTTGTGACATCCTCCTTGCCGCCTATTCCCCAACCAGGTGGCCCTGCTGCAGCTGATGGGGACACCAGAGCTGACTGGGCAGGACAACCTGCAGATGCACCAGCTGAAGATGAAGTGAGCACCGCCTCCCAGTGGGCTGACCATGCTAGATTTGCACATGCACCCTTGGGCACCCACCCCCAGCCAGGTGCGCCCCAGGGCTGGCAAGGGCAGATCTGCACACGACCCTTAGGGTGCGCACGCCAGAGTACTCACTTGGTGACTCCTAGATGTACTACACACATTCCCCCAGCGCACAGGCTATGCAGTTTCACACTAGACTCGCTGTGCATTCCCAGGACACAGCTGCGCACCTCATACACACCAATCCTGCTCACATGGCTCAACTCCGAGCTTGGACATGGTCGCCCAGGCCCCACCAGGCACACGCCTGCACATTCCTTCCTTTGGCCCCCCAAGCGCACACGTGTGCACACCCACTAGACATGTGCCACAGTCACTCTGCACACCTTCCTGATGGCACACACCCACCCAAGATGGCCTTTTCTCTTGCCACTCGGGACCCGTGGGACCACCCATCCTCCCAGGCACCTAAATGGTCCTTCTGGCTGCTAGCGCTGCCTGGAGGTTTGGCAGCAGGCAAGAGGGCCCGGGGCTGGCTACAGCCCCTTCGGAGCTGCGCAGCGGCGGCTAATTCGCCCCATCTGGGTTTTATTTATAGTTCCCTTCCACTCTTGTAGGGTAATTAAAACCATGGAAGCGATCAGCGAGGTTCTCCAGGATCTCAGGTTTGATGCAGAATCTGCCGAGTGATGGTGGCTCCCCAGGGACAAGCCAAAGGAGATGGGAAATGGGAAATACAGCGCTCTGCCCTGACTGCCAGCTGGCTGGGGTCATGCCCCACCGGACCACTGACCCTCTTCAAGTTCGCCTCACCTCTCATAATAAAGAACATAAAGAACCTTTCGTCTGCAGCTGCTCCACTGTCTCTCTGCGCTGCGGTGGGATCCCACAAAGCCAGGGATGGCAGGTGCAAGATTCCCCCACTCCATGAGTGTAAAAACTCTGGTGTTTTGAATCACACTCTCCAAGGAGTTTGGAACCAGATATTTCAGATCATGGAGAGAGTCAGAAATTCTGGGAGGTCAAGATTCCCATCCCAAAGGGTCATCAGGATTCCTCGTCAGCCCCCACCCTAGGCCACTCTAGCCCCAAACTCACCTTCACAGTCAGGGCACCTAAATAGTTTGTTTATTTAAAAAGACTCTTTGGAGTGGTCCTGGGTAGGGGGGGAGTAATGACCCTTTTTCACCCCCAGCCCTGGCAGGCGTTCTGGGAAGCTCAGCCCCCCTCACACACATTCCCCCCACTGGGGTGCACCTCACGTGGAGGCCAGAGCTGTTGTGGCCCTCGGAGCTCAGAGTGCTCACCCCAGCTGCTGCCGAGAGGGCTGGGGCACCCTGAGGTGAGGGTACAGAGGTGGCCCCCAGTCTGGGGGTGGCCCCTGGGTCTCCATGCAGCAGGGAGGGCAGCCCCAGCCTCTAGAGCTTATCTGGCAGGACCTGCAGGCAGAGGGGAAGCCAGGCTTAGCAAGGAGCCTGGGAGGGGCCAGGAGCACAGAGCAAATGAGGAGGCCCCAGTTCAGGTCCTGGTTCCACCACTTTCAGCTGGGTGACCTTGGGTAGGCTATTGCCCCTCTCTAGGCACCGGTTTTCCCATCTGAAAAGTAATATCTATTCCATGGGGTGTCCTGCAGGTAATGTGCTTGACACAGGGCCGGTATGCAGTAGGCGCTCATATAATGCTACCGGGTGGCTATGTGCATTCATCCCTGAGGATGACATTCCCCTCTGGACTTTTTAAAGGGGTCTGGATGCTCTTACTAGACTAAGGGCTACAGGGGCAGGCACACAGTAGGTGTTAACGTAAATGCTGATAAGAGAAACGTAAATGCTGGTAAGAGATGGAGGAAGGGATTGCACCTCAGTAACTAGGGCTGAGGGTGGAGGGCCCGTGGCCTACGGCCACCAGGAGGGGCCCTTGTCTCCCTGCCTGCCCACCCACCTGGGCCCCCCTTACCTCTCGCCGCGCCCCGTCTGCCCGAGGACAGGATCCCCTCGTCCTGTGCTTGGAAGGAAGGAGGCAGTGTCTGAGGGCTGAGGACCTACCTCCCCAGCCCGTTTACCCCCCTGGCCCCACCCCTCCACCTCTCGCCCGGGCGTCCCTCCTTCCTACCTGGTTGCGGGTCTTATGTGACTTCTGCATCCAGGCTCGCCACTGGTCATAGAGGCGGAAGCTGAGGTTCGAGCAGTACGCGTGCTTCTTGAGCCAGCCCAGAAACTGCTTGAGCTCGCGCCGCACCGGCCCCGAGCTCGGCTCGCCGCCCCGCGGCTCGCACGCCCCGCCGCCCGGGCCCGGGCGCTCTAATGGAGGCGGAGAGGCAGCGTCAGGGCGCGCCCGGCAGAGGGCGCGCGCGGGCAGGAGAGGGATGTTCCCTTAGGGCACCTCCCTCCCTGTTTCTATGGGACCCGATCCTCCCCACGGCCCAGCCCTGCACTGCAGCCCAGCTGCGCCCCCAAGGAGATAGGGGGCAGGGGAAGGAAGGGGCTCCTCCTCCACATCCCCTCTAGGAACCCGATTCCCGTGGCCTGAGCCAGGTGTGAGTGGAAGGGGGCGGGGGGGGGAGGAGAGAGAGGCCAGGGCCAAAGGGATGAGAAGCAGACAGAGCAGGGGGCAGAGGAAGGAAGAGAGAGACGCTGATGAGAAAGAGCTGGAGAGAGAGAGACAGAGACTGAGCGATGGAGGCAAGGAGAGACAGATAGAGGGAGAGAGAAAGCAATGAGAGACAGCCAAGGAGATGCAGAGGCTCGAGAGATGGAGAGCCAGAGCAGGGAGGGACAGAGACACTGGGGGTGTAGGGACGCAGAAACCAAGAAAGGCAGAAAGATAGAAACAGGGAAAGAGAGTGAGTGACAGAGAGATGAAGGGAGACAGAGAATTCGAGGTGGCTCTGAGGGGGAGGGGCAAGCCCCCAGGACAGGCCTGAGAGTACAGCCCGTTGGATGGGGAGTGGGCCAGGAGGGCCAGGTGGGAGGCCGGCCTGTCGGTCCAGTCGCTGGCCGCAGCCAGCCCTGAGCAGGCTGGTGGATAAGGACATTGGCCTCACGTCATAAATAACGCCGGGGACCCGCTGACAGGCCCTGGCACAGCCCCGGCCCCCACCGCCCCTGCCGGCTTCCCCTGGCCTCCCCAGCCTCCCCAGCGGACACAGCCGCCTGCTGGCTCACGTGCAAGAATCACAGGTGCTGGGCACGAGCAGGGGCCAAGGCTCAGGCCCCTCCCAGCTGTGCTAGTTCCCGCCCACCGCCGAACCTGGAGGGGCCCGGGATGGGGTCTGGGGAACTGGCTGGAGCCCTGCTCTGCCACTCCCTGACTCTGGGATCCTCTCTGGGCCTTGGTTTCCCCATCACCCCAGGAGCATGAGCCAGGACTTCAAGGGAACTGAGTTCAGATCCCTGTGTGACCTTGGGGCCTTGGTGTCCTCATCTCAGAAAAGGGGCCCTCCCTTAGGTGAAACCACTGGGGGAGCAGGGGATGGGAGTCTCAGTAACTATCACTTGCAAACGCTTGGGTGGCAGCCGCCACGAGAGCACTTTCCATGGGTTATCTCTCATCTAACCCTCACAGTAGCTTGAGGCAGGCATGATTATCATCCCCACTTTCCAGATAGGGAAGCTGAGGCCAGACGTACCAAATAAGATTTCATACCATTTCACAAAGGAGAGAAGGGAGGTCCATGGGTTTAGATACCTCCCCCCGCCCCCCGCCGCCGACCGCAAAGGGAATCAGACCCAGCCCCTGATCATCCCATCCCGCTACCTTTAACAGAAGGGGAAATCAAAGCCGGTCATAGGGAGAGTTGGCAGCCCATCGTCTTAGAAGCAGGGGTCTCCAACTCACTTGCCCTTAGGGGCTGGAGAAGGGGTACATGTGGGTGAAACAGGCCAGGTGGGGATGGCGCAACTGAAAGAGTAAGGGCCCTGACTTAAGGGGCAGCCTCTGCTGATGGGGGCTGTGGAGTAACTCTGGCTGCGTCCTATTACATTTTCTAGACAATTTTTCTAGGGAATCTAGGATATTTGTGTTCTAACTTATTGTTTTTAAAAGTCTGCCAGTAGGTCAAACTTTTTTTTTCCAAATGACAGGCCAAGAAAATAGATCCAAGGGCCACAATTGGCCCTCGGGGCCAAGAGTTTGAGACCTCTGCTCTCTTGAAGGAAACAGAGGCCCAGACTGGTTTGGGGCTGGTCCCAGGACCACCCAGCCCTGTTGGGGTGCTCACCACTTCGGGGGGTGGAGGCAGCCGTGGGGTGGCTCCATTCGCTCCAGATCCCTGCCTTCTTGGAGCCGTAGATGCCAAAGGGGTTGCAGCGCACTTGCACGAAGTAGACGGTGCCTGGCTTAAGGCCCGCCAGGCGGCAGGAGGTCTGGTTGCTCACGTCGTCCACCACCTGGGCAGAAAGGGCAGGGTCAGAGGTCGTCCACCACCTGGGCGGCAAGGGCAGGGTCAGAGGCAGGGGCAGCTTGGGGTGGGGAGGGGCGAGAGGAGGAGGGAGGAGGGGAACTGGGGGGTGGGTGCGGGCACCTTCCAATCCACGCTGTCCTCCACTCGATAGCGGATCTGGTACTTGGCTTGGAAGAGGAAGTCCTTGAGGGCAGGCGGTGAAACCCAGCGCACGCTCAGCTGGTCCTCCAGGCCCCCTACGCGGCTCACGTGCACTTCTGGCGGGGGGTCGGTGGTCACTAGGGGGGCGGGGCGGGGCTTAGTCACCGGGCTCTCTTTGGACCTGGCTGGTCCCTGTCTGAGTCCAAATACCAGGGAACGTGGCTTAGATGGCACCTGCCTCCGTTCTCCCCTCTCCCCGCTTCAGGACGGGTGGATTACATTAGATAATATTCAGGAAACACTCAGCACCTAGAAGCACTCAATTAATGTTAGCTGTTATCACCATTATTATCTGTGACAGGAGAAACATAATCCTATCTTCAGGGAACTATGTAAAAAGCAGACACTGCCTGCATGATGATATTATTATTATTATGCCCAGGAGACCAAGGAGCCCTCGGGCTGCCAGACTCCTGGGAAGCTCCCCCGACCCCCCCACTGCCCACCTCCTGCTCTTTCCAACTTCACAAAGGTCCTCAACGTGACGGCTTTGCTCGGTGCAAAGGGACAACTGAGGCTTAGAACATGCCCACTGCAGCTTCAGGACTTAAGGAAGCAAAGTGGGAAGCAGGAGGACGGAGTCACTGCAACACTTCCGAGGAATCTTCTGGGAGCCCTTTGGGCAGCAGGGAGGGCTGGCCTCTTCCCCTGAGGCCTTGGTGAGGGGCCGAAAGGGTTAAGGCACAGGCCTGCTTGGGGCTGAGAAACACCCTAATTAGATTAGGCCCAATTCTGCTCGCAGATCATCCATTTCCTGCCTCCCGCCTGCACGCCCCCCCCCCAGCTACAGGCTGCTGCTTCCTGGGGCGCCTCCAGACCTGGGCGCCCCCCTCCCGGCTCCCCGGGGGGCCCCCCTCAGCACACCTGGGCTGCCGAGGGGGAGGCAGCCAGGCCAGGTGTTCTCCACAGAGTAGGGGTATCCTGGCCGCTTCAGGGGGCTGGGGACGGACGGGTGGATGCCTAGCTTCTCCCACCCAACCAGCAGCGCAGACCTCAGCTGAGCTGCAGTGTGGCTGGGCTGGTGGGGGCCGAGGGGGAGGGGGTGGATCCCAGGTGGGCCAGGCTGGCCCTGCGGGGTGGGGGGGGTAGGGCTCACCCACATCCAGGATGTCCAGTGTCAGCACATCAGAGCGGGCCGAGCCCAGCCGGTTGGTGGCCTCCACCCAGATCTCATAGGGTGTGAAGAGAGCCAGGTCCTTGGGGATGTGGCAAGAGTGAGGTCCCACCGTGTGGTATTCCTCACATGTGTTGTCCTGCCCATACCACCTGCAGAGGCGGGAGGGGAGGAGGACACGTGAGGGTCCCTTTGGGCCCCCAAACCTCCCCCCAGCAGCCCCGGAGTGCAGAGAGGACACCAGAGCTCCGAGAGGGAAGGCGTGGCCAAGGCCACACAGCCAGGTCGGAACACATGTCACCCGAGGGCCAGCACCGACCTCAGCTTGTACTTGAGGGAGTAGTTGGTGTGGAGGAAGGTTTCCCCGCGGGCCCCCGGCGTCCAGCGGCATGTCAGGTCCTTCATGTTCTTGGACCAGCAGCTAATGTTGAAGGGTTTCTCTGGGGGAACTGCGGAAGGGGGGTGCAGGGGCTGAGGGTCTGGATGGGCCGTGGACAGGTGGAAGGGGGAGTTGCTGGCTGCCAGCTGGGGCCCCCACCTTGGAGTGGAAGGAGGATGGACAGAGCAGATGTTGGCAGGACCACCTGCATGGCTCTCTTGAGGATGGTCTTGTGGGGGGGTGGTCTCCAGGTTCTCATTCCCACCCTAGTGGCCTGTACCGCTCAACTCATGCCAGTATACCCATTGTTCAGCCCCAGACCAGAGGACCCATGATTCATGCCCCTCTCCAGAGGGAGATGTTGCCCCCAAGAGCTACCCCTAGGTGTCCTGGGGGCCCACTTACGGCCAACATAGAGGCAGGAGCCGGCAAGGATGCTGCCGTCACGGGCATGGCACACGAGGTTGTCCCCCGACTGCTGCCTGGATCCGTTGAGGTTGGCCAGGGCAAGGGCTAGAGTGGAGGCGTTGAGCATTCGGGACAGCTCAGGGGGCAGGCGGTGCCCGTTGAGGGTCCAGTAGAGGCCCTCGGCGGTGGCCCCTGGTGGGTCCCCGTGCACTGAGCACGTGGCCTGCAGGGAGGAGCCGATGAGGAGCGTGGGGTCCTGGGGACTGATCACAGCCGTGTCTGGGGTCAGAGAGGAGCACCTGTCAGGCCTGGGATGGGGCTGCCCTGAGCATCCCCCACCATCCTAGGTCCTCCAAGACTCATGGTAGTCCTGCAACGGAGCTTTATATGATTGTCCCCATTTTACAGAGAAGGAAACTGAGGCTCTATTAGGTCAAGTGACAAACCCAAGGTTGGTGGTAAAGCCAAGATTCAGCCTCGGGACTGTCTGATTCCACAACTCAGGTCCTCCCAAAGCACTTCCTCACTGACTTGCTCAGGGCTTTCTGAGTGGTTACAAACCTCGCTCAGATCCAAGTACCTCTTGCTTTGCACATACTTCTGACAACGACCACACTCTGCTTTTTTTTTTTTTTCCATTTTATTTTTGACAGTTAGAAGTAACAGATTGTGTGTTCTTTCTCTTCTACCCCCAGAACCTCACACATGTGTCTCTGTGGGGAGGAAGGCACTTCTAAAAAGGGGTCCCCTGACCCCTACTAGAATCCTGCTCATTTTATGGATGAAAAAAATAACAAGGCTCTGAGAGATCGAGTCCTTTGCCTAAGGTCACCAAATAGAAGAAGGGCACACTATTTAAACCTATATTTGTCAGTCTCTGCACTGCCACTGGAATTGAAAGTGACCATGGCAAGCTCTAGGCTCCCCACCCCCATCCAAAGGGACTTGCCATCATCATGCTTTCCCTCGATTCAGTTTTCCTAATCTGCAAAATGGGAACAAGTAAAATCACGGTCCTCGGGGCCATTGGGAAGATCAGATGGGAAGTGACTTCCTCAACTGGGTTGTGTGTGAATTGGGTGCTGGGCACAGGGGCCTCTGGGATGCCGTGGTTGATGCCTTTCCTCCTGCCTTCCACTGGAGAAGCCTTCTAGTCCAAAGATTAGAGCTTAAAAGAGAGCTGTTTTTATCCAAGGGGAAACCAAGGCACAGAAGAGGGGGAGGGGATGCACAGTTCAAGCCCCTGATGCCCCTCTGAGTCTCAGTCTCCCCACCTGGGAAGTAGGCATCATGGTATCAGCCACATGAGATTGTTTGAGAAGAGTGAAAATATTGTCTTAAGGACAACCCTGTGGGATCTTTAAGCCAGGCTGAGCTGGGTTCGAATGCCCCCAGGTCACTCTGGAGGTTAACCCAGTTCTTTTACTTCTCTGAGACTCTGGGAAGGGGCCCCTCCCTCCACCAAGAGTGGTGGTGAGGACTCATTCACTCATTTGTTCATTCATTCATTCAAGGAGCACCTACAGTGTGCCAGGACCTGAGGGCACAATGGTGAACAAGATACCCAAAATTCATGCCCTTTTGGGCCTTGAATCCAAGGGAGCAGTAGGAAAAAGAACAAATAAATGTCTAGGAGAACAAGTAAGGGAGAAAATAAAGCACGAATCAGTGGTGGCAGCTAAATGGCCCAAGAGGCCTGTCTAGGGAGGTGGCATTTGAGCTGAGATGTGAATAAAGTGAAAGAAGTAGCCATGAAAATATACAAAAGAGAGTGTCTAGGCAGTGGGAGCGGCAAGTGCAAAGATACTGGGGGGGCAGGGGTGGTAGGAAATGAGGTCTGGGAGGTTAGCAGGGGGCCAGACCTGCAGGGAGGAGTTATTCCAGGGTTCTGAGCAAGGGAGGGATTTATATTTTAAAAGGATCACTGGGCAGCTGTAAGAAGGGACTGCAGGGGGGCAGAGAGGCAGGGGCAGCCCAGCTTCCCTGGCAGCCAAGGACAGGGTGATCCTGGTTTCCCTGGGAGGCCCCTAAATGCCAGCGGCTGCCCTGTGCTGGCTCTCACTGCCCCAAATGGGCGAGATGGGGTGGACACAGTTCCCGGGGCCAGCCCTGACGATTTTCCGGGGCAAACTTGGCTTGAGGGCCATGTCTTGCTGGAGCCTGGGATCGCAGTTGCGTTTGGGGCTTGGCCCAGGGCTCGCCGGAGGTCCCAGCGTCCGTGCGAAGGAGCCGGCTGTGCCGGCCAGAGCCGAGGAGGCGGGGGCGGCTGGGGGGCGGGGGGCCAGGGGGCCGCCCTGGAGGTCCCAGGCAGCCAGCCGCCCGCTAATTCGGAATTCCTTCAGCATGAACTCGGGCGTGCCAGCGTCTCTGCCCCGGCCCACCCACCGCTTCCTGCCTGGGCCCCCCCCCCCCCAGCAGGGTGGGAGGCACGGCCAGGCCTGCCCGGACCCCAGGCCCATTCTCAAACCTCCAGGGGTGGGTCACGGCCCTCCTGTCCCCCACTCACCCCCACGGCCAGTCCAAGAAGGGGGCTCTCAGGGGGGTCCTGGCTGGCTGTGGCACTGCCCCTCTGCCACACCAGCCTGGCCTGGGCTGGTGTGGCCTGCCTGCCAGCAGCTGCAGCTGCCCTCCCCGGGCTGGGCGGGGGACAGGGCAAGAGGGCAAGGCCAGGCGGGCCTGGACAGGCCAGTCCCGCACCCCAAGCTCCAGCAGGAAAGGTCACAGGGAGACCTTCTCCTCCTGGGATGTGGGTGCCCATCTCGGCTGGGGCACCTGGGCAATTGGCTTCCCCTCCCCTGTTCTCAGTTTCCTCCTCCGTAAAATGGGAGGAAAATACGTTCTACCTGCTGGGGAGATGAATGAGATGAGCTCACCACGTCCAGAGGGCCCAGCACACTGCAGTGCCTAGCAACTGTTGGGATTAGGGCCCCTCCCAGCTCTGGGGTCCCTGGCTGGCTGGTGCACTCCCTCCAGGCCTCCCCCAAACAATGGGCCAAGGCATTTGGGACCAGGATGCACACATTCCAGCCCAGGCAAAGCAGCTGGGGACAGCCCACTGAGGTTGGGAGGGCCCTTGGCCTGGTTTGGGGGGCTTCCTAGAAGGCTCCCTTAAGCAGATCCCTGGGCTAGGCTTTTGGACAACCCCCCTCCCCTGCTCCCTGCCTCCCCGCCTTTCCCGCAGAGCTGGGGCCTTTAAAAGTTTTTTCTCTCCCCCTTCCCAATCTGGAGCCACTGCCGTTATTAAAAAGGAACACCATGTGTTTTAAAAGGGAAAAGTGTGAGATTCTCTGCAAACAAGGCAGGAGGGTGGCCTCCACCCGGGGTCCCCATGGGGGTCCCCATCTCCTGTCCCGCTGGTACCTGCAGACGCTTTACGACCCACCCGCCTGCTGGTCAGGTGCTAAGACACACCACACCGTAAGTAGAAACATATTGCCGAGGTGTGAGAATCTTTAATTTCTTCCCCCTTAAAGGAAAAAACACACGCACAACAATCCTTCCACCACCACCACCTTTGCCTGCTGCTCTGCTGGCTGGGAAACAAAGCCTGCCACTAAAGGTGGCATTCACAGGTGCTGCCCACTGCCTGGCAGGAACCCCACTGCTATCAGGAACCCCAGAAGGGCCTGGGACAGCCCCTCACCTGCCCAGGAGCGTTGGGCATGTTAGGCTTTCAGCAAGTGCCTCCAGGACACCGGACCCTGCTCTTTCTGAAAGAGCACCGCAGGGAGCCTGCAAACAGCTCTGTGCAGTGTAGGCCCACCTGGGGTGCAGTGTCTGCCGACCCGGGTCGACTTGTGTGCCTGGATGGGGTGCGTGGAGTGACCGCGAACATCCAGGGCAGGTTGTGCCTGCGTGCGTGCCCTGTGTTGCCTCTCCCTCGGAAAGAGTGTGACCATGAATGTGTGTGTGTCAGGGATGGAATGTGTGTGTGCGCCCCGATGGTGTGCGAATGTGCATCTGGGATGCAGTGTGTGCACATCTGAGGGCGAGGGTGACGGGCCACAAGCCAGTGTGAGTCTTTGTGTGTCTCTGGGTGTGTCCCAGAGTGGGTCTGGATGTGGAGACCGTGTCCTGGCGGGGGTGTGCATTGGGTGGGGGACCGGAGAGTACCGGAGGCCAGGCGCTCCCAGCAGGGCGGGGGTCTCGGCCTGCGGGGGCTGTGGGCTCCCGGTGGCTGCTCCCCCCCACAACGGCTGGGCCTGCGGTGCCCGGACTCGCTGGGTCCCGCTCCCTCTCACTCTCACCCACTCTCTCACAAAGATTTCTCTCGCTAGAGTCTCCTAGCCCGGCGCAGCGTGGCCGGGAACAGTTCTGAGCGCCGCCAGTGGAGAGGACTCCATGGACCCCCGCGCGCGGGGTCCCGCAGGGGGAGGGCGGCGGCGCCGGCCCGCGGAGAGGCGCGTCCCCGGGGACCCCGGGCCGCGCGCCAGGCGGCCAGAGCGGCCCCCTCCCGCCCCGCCTTCCTCACGGGGCTCATCCCTCCACCCGGGGGGGCCCCGCTCAGGGCCGGCACCCAGCGCGCCTACCGCGTGCGCCGCCGCCCAAGAGCGGTGAACCGCGGTCCCCGCGTCTCCGAGTCAGCAGACGCTATCGCGTGCGCCCACCGCGTCCTGGAGTGCAGAGGGTCCCAGGCCGCGCGGCCCCTCGACCCCCCTGGGCCGACTCGGGCGTCCTCCAGAGGAGAGCCCAGGTAAAAAGGCCTCGGCAGCGGAAGCCGGACCCTCGGGCCAGGGAACTTCGGCGCCGTGCGCCCCACAGGTGAGGATGCCCCGAGGGCCGCGCCGGGGGCGCCTTCCTTTGTTCCCGGGCCGTCCAGGTGGCGCCCGCGCCCCCTCCCCCCGCGGCTGCCCCCGGGGCGCACGCTCTCGGCCCAGGCGAGAAGAGGGGAGCACGGCGCCGGCTACTCACCGGCTCCTGATCCCGCTTGCGGCGCCCCGAGGACGCAGAGCAGCAGTAGGGGCAGCAGCGGCGGCGGCCGCCGCGCGGATTGGGCGGCGGGGCCCGGGCGGCCGGCGGGCATGGGGCCGGCGCTGCCGGGGGCGCGCGGCGGGCGGCGGCTGCAGCGGGCGGCGAGGGACTCGGGGCGCAGGCGGGGCGCGGGCCAAGTAGCCCGCACGTCGCTGGGCGCGGGCGCGGAGGCCAGAGCAAGTCTGAGCAACCGAATTGACAAGGCGCTAATGCGCCGCTGGCCCCGCCCGGCCCCGCCCCCGGCCCGGCCCCCGGGGGGGGGGCGAGCGGCGGGCCCCGCACCGGCCTCCCCGCCGCCCGCCAGCCCGCGGGCACCGCGGGCCCCACCCGTCCGGCCTCCGCCCCGCCGCGCACCGCACGCGCCCTTTCCCGCGGCCCCAAACCCCCCACTCTACCCTTACCGACCTGGGACCTCCCTTTCCAACCCCGCGAGCTCCAGGCTCCCTACCCCGAATCTGGGACCTGGAGCCCCCAGTCGGGTTTCCATACCCTCGCCCACTTCCCTGCACCCTGCTCTCAGCCATGTGCTCCTTCGGCGTCCCCTGAGGCCCCCAGCCCTCGCCCGCTCCTCCCCCCCCATCCTCTGTCTCGGCCCCCACCCGAACTCTGGCCCCGCCCCCCACTGAGCGGTCCCTGAGCCCCGCCTGCTCCCATCTCCAGCCCCCCTTCCTCCCCTGGGGCCTAAAAGTCGCCCTCCCTCCCGCCTCACGCCATCGGCGCGCGGGTCCCACCGGTTTTGGCCCAGCGCTCCCCCTCCCACTTCATCCCGCCTCTTCTGGTCCTCCAGCGCGCGAAGCCTCGGCCCCAGGCTTTGCTGGAGGGAAGACGGAGAAAAAGCCGCAAGGCACAGCGTCCCTGGACCTTACCCTGGCTCAGCTGTCCCCCTCGAGCGGGACCGAGCTGAGGTTCTTTGGGGGCACCCGGGGGCCTCAGTAGGGAGTTCCCGCGTGGGGAGGCTGGGAGAAATGGGCCCCCGTGGGAAAGGGGACGGGGGCTTGCGCGGGTCCCGTATGCGGGGCAGGACAGATTCCCAGGAGGAGAGCGGTAAGGAGGCGCCCCCCGACTCGCTGACACCCCCCCCACCGAAAAATCCGCTCAGCGGCCCGCGGGTGGGGTGCGCCACGCAGTGACTAATCGCTCGGGCGGCCGCCGCTCGCCGACTCCAGGTAACGCCGGCTGCCCCGAGCGACGCATAGTTTGTCTTCCTTTTTTTTGCGTAGGGATCCTTCTCCGTGTTATTATTTTTGGCCACTGCTTGGGTTTCGGGACCCCTCCAGGCCCGGGCGCATCACCCCCCTCCTCTTGGTCCCCACCCGATTCGGGCGCCCACGATAAAAGGGCTCCTGACCTCCAAGGCCACGGTGGAGGGGGAGCCTGAAATGAGAGTTCCGGGGCCGCCTTCAGCCCGGCTGTTAGAGTCGCAGCCCTGCCCCCAGCCGCGTGCCCTCAGAGGGGAAGGGCTCTAACTCCCCTTTCCAGGGGTTCCCTTAGAGATCTGGACCCTCCGTCTTGGTCCCTAACCAGCTAAGCAGGTAAAAGTGTCTGAGTAGGGCTCAGGAGTTCCCATCTCGCTTGCTCACGGCTGCCCTCCACCCCTGCTACTTGGGTCCCCAACTCAGACCTCAGACTGTCAGAAAAGAGGATTAAAGGATGGAGTCCGGGGTGCGCCCCTCTAGTCCCCCATTCTGGACGCTGGATGGGCTTGTGAAGGAGAGAGTAAAGCCCTGGCATACTGCACTGTCGTTTACTGGGGCACACCAGGCCTCTCTGCCTCAGTTTCCTCCTCAGCACAGTGGGTGACTCCTAGCCAGCCTAAGGGTTTCTGTGGGAAGCTGCAACGTAGCAGAAGGCTCCACGGTCTAAACACTTAGCATAGTGTCTGGCACCAGGGGCACATTCTTTTGGAGCCTCAGTTTGTCACTTCTGAAAAATGGGGCCATAGTCCCACCTGCCAGGTGGTCCAGAGAGTTAAGTGGAGGTGGCAGTTCTTGGCTGGAATTGTGTTTCCAGGATATATACCACCCCCTCCCCCACAACCTCTGTCCTGCAACGTTTGACTCCCTCCTGGAGGACTTCAGGCTTCTGGAGCAAAATCTTGATTATTTTCCTCCCCAGTCTCTGCTCCTCCCCAGTCATTCCCCAGTCTCGGGAAAAGGCTCCCCCATCCACCCAGATGCTCGGGCCAGAGACCTGGAGGTGCGCGTGACAACTCTCTCCTTCGCTCATCCCCTACGTCCAATCCATCAGCAAATCCTGTTGGCTGATTCCAAAACACATCCCCATTCTGAGATTCGGACCCCTTTCCTCCACCCCATCCGGCTCCAGGCCCCACCATCTCCGTCTGGGATGCCGCCCAGCCTCCTCCTAGGCTTCCCGGGTAAATCCCCTTGCCCTTGTCTGTACAGCAGGCAGAAGGAGCTTTTTCTTTCTTTCTTTCTTTCTTTCTTTTTTTTTGCGGTACGCGGGCCTCTCACTGTTGTGGTCTCTCCTGTTGCGGAGCACAGGCTCCGGACGCGCAGGCTCAGCGGCCATGGCTCACGGGCCCAGCGGCTCCGCGGCATGTGGGATCTTCCTGGATTGGGGCATGAACCCGTGTCCCCTGCATCGGCAGGCGGACTCTCAACCACTGCGCCACCAGGGAAGCCCCAGAAGGAGCTTTTAAAAGAAGCAAAGCAGGTCTTTTTTGCCCTGCCACCCTCTCCCCCCTCCTTTTCTCCTCTCTTCTCATCCTCTCTCTTCCTCTCCCTCACTCCACTCCAGCTGCTGCACCCGTTTCTCCCAAACACATAGGCTTGTTTATTATCAGGGGGTCTTTGTACATTTGCTTTTCCCCCTGCAGGGATGCAGTTCCCCCAAATCTTCCACCAGTTAGCACCTTCTCTTCCGTCAGGTCACAGGTCAAGTATTCTCAGAGGGGTCCCCCAACCTTCCCAGGCACCCTCCATCCCCTTCTCCTTTTTAAATTATCCTTGTAACACAGTTCTTCGAACATCATCTTTCTCTTGAGATATTTTCTTTAGACTGTGAGCACCCTGAGAGCCATTAGGACCTCATGCTGGGCCCAGTGAGGGCCACAGGAGAAGAGCTCAGTGAACATTTGCAAAATGAAAGGATGGAGAATTCTCAGTGCCTCAGAGTAGCAAGAAAGTTCAGTCCCAGTGAATCATGCTGTCTGGGGTCCCAGCCAGGCCCTGGACTTGTTGTGTGACCCAACCTGGTAGCCACCCCTCTCTGGTCCTTACCTGTAGAAGGGTATGGGTTGTTCACCCAGCCCCTCCTTGGAGCATACCCTCTGCCCTCTGGGTGACCTTTACCTCAAACCTTTGACTTTAAGGAAAGTGATTTGGCCTCTAGGTGCACCCTTCCCTGCCCTTGGTTCTCCAGGTGGCTTAACCCCTTCTTCATCAGTCCCACCACCTCTTTGTGCAGGAAGGGGAATGAGCGTTGATGGAACTTCTGACAAATATTGACCCAAGTCCTTGAAGGTGGCTGGGAATGTACTGAGGTGGCAGATGGAGGGAGGGCCCCACATGGGGGAGGGGCTCCTCAGTCTTTGCACCTAAGGATTACCTTGGGGGAGAGCCTCCAGCCCAGCTCCCTGCATAATTCCAGGGCACTGAGGGGGCCCCAGGGAAAGGCAGTGGTAACAGCCCCTTCAGGGTCCCATTGGGAGTGAGGAGGGCACAGAGCTGCCTCTCCCATGTTGAGACCCCTCAGTATGGGATTAGCTGCCTTGTGTTCCAGGCCCGTGTGCCCAGGAAGCAGGGACAGTGAGGGTCTCGCCTGGACGTGGGCTTGGGACAGCAGAACCTAGGTTCAGGACATGTGTGCAAGGGAAGGCGGGGCTTTATCATTTCCACCCTGGAGGTTCAGCCTGGGGAGCTGGGTTGCCTGGGTCCCAAGCTTTGTGCAGTCTATACTTAAAAAAATCCAGCCCCCATAGGCATTGGAGGTGAGATCTCAGGAGTGAAGAGCTGCCTGTGTCTAGGTCAGGGCCAGTGTTTACCGGGCCTCGGAGGCCTGGGTTCCCTGCCTCTCCGCACCCTGGAGAACCTCGGACGTCTGGGTTCCAGGAGGCGCCAGCTATGTTGGGGGTGACAGTTGTGCCCCTTCCCCTCCCCCCACCCACTGTCTGCAAGCCGCCGGCGCCAGGGAGCCGTGCCCGCTCCCCAGGCTGTACCCGGCTTGGGGGTGGGGGTCAGCAGGGTCGTGGCGAGGGCGGCAAGGGATAAAGGGCGCTTGTCCGATGCCCGCCCTGACCTCGGCCGCCGCTTCCCGGACTCCCGGCCCGCCTCTGATTCACGCCCAGGCCGGCCGCAGCGCCCTCCCCCCCCCGCCCCCCCCCCCGCCTGCCGCCCCGGGGGGTAGGAAGTGGGGGGGGGGCGAGGGGCGGCGCCGAGTCAACTTTCCCTCTTAAGCCCCGAAGGAATGTCGGCGGATTTCCTGAAACCCGACCCCGGCCGCCCGCCGGCCCGCCTGCCCCTCACCTGGACCTGCTCCCTCGGGAACGGCAGGAGGGGCGCGGGGGCTCACCTGGGGGGCCGGGGTCAAGTCCTCCTTCCGCTCCCGCCCCAGGCAGCCTCTTGCAGCGGAAAAGGGGGTGAGTGGGAGGCAATCAAACCCTCTCACTCCTCTCCAGCGACCTAGGCCAGCGTCTCAACTCCTCCAGCCTCAGTTTCCCCTTCCGCTTTTAAAAAGGCGCGGGTCTCCTTCCTTCCTGTTGTGGTTTAAGAGACGCCTCTTAAGCCCGATTCCCCTGACTCCCCACCTCCTAGTCTTGGCAGGGGTCTGCCCACCTCCCTTGGCTTCCCTCGCTTGTCACCTGGGCCGACCCCCTTTGCCACCCTGATCCTCAATTTCCTCAGCTGTAAATTGGACAACGCTGCCAGTTCTTCCTTATAGGTTGTTACAAGAAAATACTTGGGAAGTGTTTTGTTTGGAATGAATGAAGAACAGTAATTGTGGACGGCTTCAGCGCGCTGGGCTCTGGAATTGACATGTGTGGGCTTGAAACCTGGCTCTGCGGAAGGGTCCTGGGGACTAGGTTTCCCACCTGTGAAACGGGGAACAGTATTGGTCATAACCAATGGCTGTTTCCCAAGGCGCAGGCCTGGCGCGCGGTGGGTTAGATGCGGGGTTCCCTGGCTCTCGCGCAAACCGCAGGCTGGAGGCCCTAGCCGCAGGGTCGCGGCAGCCTAGCCCGGGAGGGGCGGGACGGGGGAGGGCCGCGCGGGGATCCAGATGTTCAGGGTCCTCCAGGCACAGCCGCGCCTGATTAAGCCATGTGGGGGCTGGCCGAGGCGCGGAGATGAAAGGGCGGCGGCCGGCCGGGGGAGGGGGCTTGCCAGCCATCACCCCCCCAAGTCCCCTCCTCCTCGGCCGGAACCTACGGCGCCCTCTGACACGCCGACCCCGAGTGGCTGCCGCCCTGTCTGCTGAGGCAGAGGGTGGATGGAAGATGCGCAGGCGGCAGACACCTGCGCGGGGCACGCCAGAGAGAGGGAGGGTGTCATTTTTGCAAGGTCTCAGGCTTAGAGGGGAGCCCTCACTCCCATGCCTGCCGGAGAGGAAGCTAGGGGGACCTCCTAACCCAAGATTCATGGGGCTACACTCTTGTCACCTTGGAGTGCGATGGAAGTCAGAAGTGTTCCTGCTTGTCCCAAGTTTTCCCATGAGAATTAGAAATTTTAGCAGCACCCCATCACCCCTATCAACATCTCTGTGCCGCCTCCCTCTCAGCCCCAGGCCGAGGGGCCCCTAGTCTGGGAGAGCAGGGACCAGATCCCCCAGGTTTGTAGATCAGGGCTGGGTCAGAGGGAGGAGAGGCTGGGGGAGCCCTGGAGGGTCTGGGAGGGCTTCCTAAAGGAGGCAAACTGTGCACACGTTACCGGATCTCTGACTTGGGTGCCAAAGTAGATGATGTCACAGACCTTCAGAAGGCCTTCTCTAACACAGCTCTGCGACACTCACGACCCTCCATCTCCACTCTCTGGCTGGGTTCCAGCCACGACCACCGCCCTCCTGTTTCCTTTTCCGACAAGCTCATCCCCTCCTCAGGGCCCTCGCTGTTCCTTCGGCCTCCTCGCGTGGCCAGCTCCAACGTTGCCTATCCGGGAGGCCTTCCTTGATTCCCTGGAGAATAGATCTCTCCCCCATCCTACCACCCTATTTGTTTCCTTTTGGCCCCTAGCGATGGCTGAGATCCCTCGTGCGTGGATACTAGGGAGGTGTCATGGCACCCCCGAGATGGGACACACGGCAGGGGCCACGATCCACCTGCCTCGCCCTGCCCGCACCCTGACGGTGCCGCAGCGCCGCTCCCCCGCCAGTTCTCCGCATCCCCCACCCCCCCTTCCCAGGCTGCCTCGCTCGGGTGACGTCAGCTAACCGGTCCCCGCCGCCGCCGCCGCATCCTCCGCGCCTGCCAGGAGCCGGCGTCCCCCGCGCTCCTTGCGCCCGGCCTGGCCATGGCTTCGGTCGCCCTGATGCCGCTCCTGTTGCTGCTGCTGCAGCCTCCGCCCGCCACCCCCGCGCCGCCTGCCCGCGACCCCTTCGCCCTGCAGCTCGGGGACACGCAGAGCTGCCAGCTGCGGTGCCGAGACCGCTACCCTAATCCGCAGCCCGCTCAGGTGAAGCGCATGCGGCGCCAGCGGGAGGACCAGAGATCTCTCCAATGGAGGATGGGTTGAGGATGCGATTCCCCCCATTCGGAGCGGGAGACAAGGGTTCCTCGGAGGGGGAAGGGGTCAGGGAAGGGGGCTCTCCAATAGGGGTGGGTCCCTCTGGTGGGGGAAGGGCTGGCGTTCCTTCGATGGTAGTGAGCGCAGGGGTCGGGGGTCCCTCCGATGAGGATGGGGATGTTCCTCCCGCAGGGGAGGGGCCGTGGGGTCCCTCTGATGGGGGAGGGTTTAGGGATGCGGGTCCTTCCGATGAATTCGGTGTTGCTGGAGTCTCTCCAAGCCTGAGGCAGGGAGGAGACTGGGGCTCCTGATGCTGCCTAGAGGGTTCTGGCTCCACACTGCTGCGCAAGGACCCTTGGGGCGTCCAACCCCCACTTTCCTCAGGCCTGACAGTCCCCTTCTCTTCCCCCTCTACCCTAGCAGCTTCCACATCCTCCTCCCTCCCCCCCTCAGAGCTACCAGCCCCCATTCCTATCCTCATGCCCACCCCCTAGTCGGATCCCAATTTTCCCAGGCCTGAAGGGTGACAAAACCTCCTCTGAGACCCCCTCCTTCTTGAGGCCTGAGAAGCGCTCCTCCCTGGAGCCTTGGGGGGGACCATTTCCCTCGATCTTCCCCAGTTTTCCAGCCGTTACCCAAACCCAGCAACCTCCGTTGTTTATTCTTTCTCAAGCCCCCTCTCCCTCTCTCCTCATCAGAGCTAAGAGCCCCTGCTAATATGCTTAGCCTCCTCCCCAACTTCATCCCAAACTCCTTAGAAGGTTTGGGGGGGATCAAATCTTCTACCTCCTCACATGAGGGCTTCCAGCGCTGCCCTCCTCCTGCCCCTCCCCTGGCCTGAACCCCACATCTTCGCTTCCAGGAGGGGTTGGAGGAGGACCCCACTGAGTCCCGGAAAGCGAATGCGCATAATAGGGCCGTCCTGATCAGTGCTTGCGAGCGAGGCTGCCGCCTCTTCTCCATCTGCCGATTCGTGGCCAGGAGTTCCAAGCCCAATGCCACACAGGCTGAGTGTGAAGCAGGTAAGGACTGGATGGGTGGGCCAGGGTGGGGAGAGGTGGCCTGGGAAGGGCTGTGCCCCCAGTCAACCTCTCCTGCCTCTTGCAGCCTGTGTGGAGGCCTACGTGAAGGAGACAGAGCAGCAGGCCTGCAGCGAGGGCTGCTGGAGCCAGAATCCAGAGCCGGAGCCCGAAGCTGAGCCTGAGCTGGAGCAGAAGGTGGGCGCCCTCCCACCTGTGGCCCCAGGCCCATCCCCCCTCTCCTCTACCCCCCAAATCTGCACTCATATCCAGCGTCTCTGAAGCTCTCCATTCCATTCGGGGCCTACTGGGTGTCCTTGATTAAGCCATTTCACATCCCAAGGCTCAGTTATCATCTCTGTGACTTCTCCCCTTCCCCTCCCCTGCTGCCACCAAAACAGCCACCGTTTACATTACTTAGCAAGCGTTTGTCCTGGTCCAGGCCTGACCTCAGCCTGTCCTCAATTCCTTGGGCCACCCGGAGGCACCTGAGACAGTGTCATCCTCATTTCATGCCCACAGAGCAACTGGCCAAGGTCACACAGGGCTGTGCAGAGGTGGGATTTAAAGCCAGTGCCACTAGGGCTTGTGACCACCCCTCACCTCCCTCACCTTCAGTGCCACAAGAGCTGACTACTGACCACCTACATGCCAGCTACTGGTCTAATCACGTTCCTCGTGATGAACAAGTGGCCACTCTCATCTGGGGTGGCTCAGAACGGAGGCGCAGGGAGCAGCCTCCCAAGCACACAGGTAGTACCCCTCCCCCCACTCCAGGGAGAAATAATAACTGCTCACCTATCAGGGTCTGTGAGAGAGTCTAGAAAACGCTGCATCAGGGGGAGCTGAGGCACAGGAAATCCTTCATCACAGCCAGAAACGCATGGGCTGGGATTCCCCAGAAAGCCCTTTCCCTCTTCACTCATTTTCCTCCACCCCTTCCAGGCTTTCACTGTTCATAAAAGCACAGTGCACTATCATTTCTTCCTATTCTGAGTTCTCTCCTGATGCTGTCAAAATAAGAACAATGATGGTGATATTTTTAATAATAGTAGCTACTACATATTAGGCACTTGTACCATTGTCTAGTTGAAATCTCATAGCAACCCCACGAGGGAAGAGAATCATCCCCATTTCAGGGCTCGGAGAGGGCAATCCGCTTTCCCAAGGGCACACAGTCAGCCAAATACAGTGCTGAGGTCTGTGTTCATTGTATGAAGCCCTGTTGCCTCAAACCACTTAGTGAATTTTGATCACAATCCATTCTCCCAGCTCCCCTCCCACTGGTTAATGCCCTACATTGGTGACATTTCTGTGCCTTGGGCCTCCCCCTGGCAGAGAAAAGTCCTGGAAGCTCCAAGTGGGGCCCTCTCGCTCCTGGACTTGTTTTCCACCCTCTGCAATGACCTTGTCAACTCGGCGCAGGGCTTCGTCTCCTCCACCTGGACATACTACCTGCAGACTGACAATGGGAAGGTGGTGGTGTTCCAGGTGAGGGCTCTGGCAGGGGCCGCACTAGAGTAGTGGTTGGGTGGTCAGGGTAAGAAGGTGGGATGAGTTGGTTCTTGGCTCATGGGATGCAAAGTCCACAGGAAACAAGCTTCAGGCACAGCTGGATCCAGGGGTTCAGTGTCTCACTCCACTGCTGGACTCTGCTGTCCTTTTTGGTGGCTTTACTCTCAGGCAAGCACCTCCCTCCTCACAGCAGGGTGGATGCCTGAGGCTCTAGATGACAACCTCTCTGAGGTTTTAACTAAGCGGATTGGCCATGGTTCAGTCATGTGATAACCTCTCAGCCAATCCCTGTGATTCTATTGGCATGCCTTGGATCACATCCCTACTTTAGGAGCAAGACAAATCAGGGCTCCACATTAGCAGGGAACAGCATCCCTGGTATCACAGCTCACAGCTCCATAGAGGGTGTCCTCTCTATCCCCAGGGGAACTAGGTGCCAGCTGGGCTTGGGACAATGTAACCTGCAGGGGGCACAGAGAGGTGCCTCCTAGGGCCAAGATGGTGCCTTTCTAAAGGGCTTCTCTGTGCTGTATTGTTCCTGGCCCAGACCCAGCCTGTGGTAGAGAGCCTGGGGCACGAGGGGGCCCGTCTGCAGCGAGTGGAGGTGACCTGGCGGGGATCCCACCCTGAGGCCTTGGAGGTGCATGTTGGTAAGGTCCAAGCCTAGACCAGTGTTCCTTCCACAGGTGGCTCCACTGTCACAAGGGGTTCTCCTGACAAATGAACCCTTGAGGATTGGGATTTCCATCTCTCAACTCCTGGGGTTCCTTGGTCCATCTCCCTGGGTTCCATGGTGCATCTCCCAAGTTTCCATGGTCCATCTCCCAGGGTTCCATGGTTCATCTCCCAGGGGTCCATGGTCCATCTTTCAGGGTTCTGATTTATTCCAGGACCCAATGCCCCGTTGCCCCAGGTCCTGGCCTCCTTTCTGTTCTCCATGGCTGCTGTCGCCTCTTGGCGAAGGCCTGGAGGCTGCTGAGAGGTGACCTGTTCTCTCAGACCCTGTAGGCCCCTTGGACAAGGTAAGGAAGGCCAAGATTCGAGTCAAGACCAGCAGCAAGGCCAAGGTGGAGTCCGATGAGCTGCAGGACAACGACTTCCTCAGTTGCATGTCCCGGTGGGTTGCAGAACCTTGGGGATGGTGGAGGGGGGTGGGGCCAGAGGGGAGTGACTATCTGGCCCAACTAGGGCCACTGAGCGTGCCTGCCGGGTGGGGCAGGCGCTCCGGGCTTCCTCGCTGGATCCTGGCCTGCTGCCTCTTTCTTTCCGTGCTGGTGATGCTGTGGCTGAGCTGTTCCACCCTGGTGACCGCACCCGGCCAGCACCTCAAGTTCCAGGTGGGCGGGGCCCACAGGCAGGGGTGGGAGGAGAACTGCTCCCTCATCTGGATAGGGCTGCCCCCTCTCCCATGGAGGCAGGGACCCCTGACTTGCTGCGTGACATTAGGCAAGTTTCTTCACTCCCTTATGAAATGGGGGAAACAACTCCCACCCTTAGTAGGGGCAACCTTAGGTCAGGGGTAGGAAGGAGCCTTGCCAGGTTGGGGACTCATAGCCCTCACTCCCTCTTCCTCCCCCTGCAGCCCCTGTCTCTGGAGCAGCACAAGGGCTTTATGGTAGAGCCAGACTGGCCCCTGTACCCTCCCCCGTCGCACGCCTTTGCAGACAATCCCCCGCCCTACAAGCTGAAGCTGGACCTGACCAAGCTGTAGGCCTCCATTGCCAAGTTCAGGAGCTCCTTGGGTCTCACTTGCCCGTTGCCTAGGAGTCCGGGTCAGGGTGGGACGGTCCTTGGGCTCCTCCTCTCCCCAAATTCTTCTTCTCTTCCCAGTCCCGCCCCTCCCCCCTCCCCCCTCCCCCCTCCCCCCCCCCATCCTGGGGTTGCCCTGCCCCTCCTGGGGGGCGGGATCTGACCTTGGTTCCTCCACACCCCGCTTCCCCAGAGCGTGTTACTTTTGTCTTCTATCGTGTAGCTTCTTGAGTATTTCAACCCCAGTTCTGTGCTGCCTTCGTCCTTCCTCCTTTCTCCCCTCTGGGGGGCTGAGGCCACAGGGGAGCCGCTTCGTTCCAGGGCTTCCCCCTTTCTCCCCACCCCACCACCGGAGATGTAGCCTCGTGAGAGGAGGCCCCCCACCCCCAAGAGGGGAGGTGGTGGGTAGCTCCATGCTGGGAGTTGCAGCATGGTGGTTGGGAGGAATAAACCATGATATAAAACCCATCTTGGACTGAGCCTGCTTCTGTTGGTCTTTCCACCCGTCTCTTGGGGACTGGCCTGAACATGGCCATGACCCCTGCCCACCAGGCCCTTTCTGAGATGGGGGAGGTGAACTTCGGGAACTCCCCGTGGCTTGAGTGGTGAGAACCAGCTGACACCTGGAAGGACAGCCCCTCTGCTACCCAGCGCACATCACATTCCTAACTAGGGGTGACTCTGGATAAGCGGCTTGTGCCACCTGCCTGGCCCAGGTGGGTCAGTGCCCCTTCCTGGGCCTCCACGTGGCTCCTGTGAAATGGACAGGTCACATCTTGAAGAGGACATTTGTTAATTTTGTCACCACCTGGCTTCCATCCGCCTTTCTTTTTGGGATGGAGCTCTGCCCCGTTGGGGGCAGTCTCAGGGTCCTGTCCACAGGTTCTCTCCCCTTCCTTACCCAAGAGGTCCAGACTTGGCGTTCTTTCCTGCACTTTGCATTCAAGAGGAGTCTTGTAGGACAGGAACAGCCCACCCTGATGAGGCCACAGCCATGGCACTCCATCCTTCCTGTCCATTCTGCAGACTCCCCAAGATCCTCCCAGTAAATCTTTTGGTTAAGTAGGCTAGAGTTGTTTCTGTTGCTGGCAACCAGAGATTCTTGGCTGGTGGGGGCCGCATCTTCTGGGAAGAGTTTGGGATGAGGGACATGGTGGTCAATGTGGCACAGATTTCCAAGGTCTGATGGAGGCCTGTGGGTGATGGGTGACTGGTTGGGGGAAGGTGAGTTAGAGCGAGCTGAGTGGGGCTGATTATCTGCCCTACCACCCTTCACCCCGCCCTGTGTCCTGGGAGGTTGATTCACTTGGGCCCTCAGCCTCTGCTAGAGTCAGCCGGGGGGCCACCAGCAGGAGGTGGAAGGAAGGAGGAGTGAGAAGTTGGGGGTTTCTCTCCCTGCATCCTCCAACCCAATGCCACAACTCCACCAAATGAGCCTTCAGCCTGGGCGTGTTAACAGCTCCCCACTGTTGCCCATCCTGTGTGCTGCACCACCCCATGTCAGTTACCCAGCCCTGCTGCACCTTTGTAAATATTCCCTTTATTACTGCTCTCCTGAATCTTCAGTTCTGACTGGCTCCTGCCTGCTGCCAGGACCCTGCCTGATATCATGAGCATCAGGATTCAACATAAAGACAATTTAGGCCCCTGAGTACATTTCTGGGCCCAGTGTAGGGTTTCAGAGCAGCCCCCGGAATGTCACCAGGAAATAAGACCTGGGCAGAGGTGAGAAGTGATGGCAGGCCAGCGCTGCCCAGCAGAACATTGTGTGATGACGGAAACGTTCTGTCTGCGCCACCCGCAGCCACATGGTGTTGCACAGCCCTGGCTAGTGGGACTCAAGGACTGTTTCCTGGTTCTTTAGTTTGAGTTGATGTACATTTAAGGTTTTTCCTCTATTTTTTCGTGGTGGTAAAAAATATGCATCACATAAAATTTGCCATTTTAGCCAGTTTTTAAGAGTACAATTCAGGGGCATTAGGTACATCTGCAATGTTGTGCAATTATCACCATTATCTATTTAAATGATTACCCTAATTCTGGGGTCTAGTGCTGCCGTGAGGAGCCCAAATATCCACATGAACCCACAAGGACCCCCATGACTTGGCCCAATTAGCATCTCCAACCGCTTCTACAGAGGCTTTGTCCCTTGCTGACATGGGTTCTTTCTGGATCCCTCGACCCTACCTTGTTCCTTCCAGCCCCAGGGCCTTTACACTTGCATCTCCCTCTGCCAGCAACACCCTCGAAGCCCTGTTCTACCAAAGCTCTCAACAAAAAGGGCTCCTCCTCAAACAAAGACATCCCCACCACCCCAGACTCGGCCAGCATCCCCTGTTATACCCATGTTCAGCTCCCCGTTCATCTTCCCTGTGCTTACCACATTTACAGTCGATTAATAATTATTTGCTTCAATGTCAGCCTCGTTTAACATAATTTTATGAGCTCCAGGAAGGCAGCTCCCTAGGGTCTCACATGTGAACTGGCATGGAGCAGGTGACCAGTAATTATTTTTGCTTGGGTGTCTCCCTGTTTCCCTCTCAGACCCCAGAAGCAGCCTCACCTAGTCACGTCCATTCTCTACACAAGTCTGACCTTGTCCCTCTCCTACAAGCTCCCTGTTGCCCTCGGACACCGCCTAATTTCCTTTGCTTACCTTTTCTTTTTTTTTTTTTTAACTTGTGGCATGCGGGATTTTTTTTGTTTTTGTTGTGGCATGTGAACTCTTAGTTGCGGCATGCACGTGAGAGTCTTACCCACTGGACCACCAGGGAAGTACCTCCTCTGCTTACCTTTTAAGGGTTTTTAATCCTCACCAAGCTGGCAGCCACCACCTCTTATGTTCCTCCAAACTTTTAGTCTGAAGACATAAGGGACATCAATGTTCCAGCCTCCACACCTTTGCTATAGTTGCTCCCTCTGCTCAGAACACCATCATAGACTTGGTAGGAATCTACCTGTCACCTTGTCACCCTCATCTTCCTTTCTAACAGAACTCTGGTTTGGTTTGATCAAAGCTATGTGGCTCAGGGGAAGTTGAGCAGCATGACCCAAGCTTCCTCTGGTATTGGTGGGATTTATTGGGAGAGAGACATGCCCTGTTAAGTGGGGTTGTTGAGCTGGGAGAATGTCAGTCCGAAGCTAGAGGGATGGAAAGAGACAGCATCTTCATGCCTTTGCTGGAAGTCCTGGACCAGGCTGTGCCTGAAGCCATCTTGTCCTTGATTTTTTAGCTTAAGCCAGTTTGTGTTGGGTTCCTTGGAACTGAAAAGTTGTGACTGATCCCGGTCTCTTTGTCCTCCCTCCCCTCTCTCAAGACTGAGCTGCAAGGGCAGAGAGCTTTGTTTGTATGCTGCTGAGTGTCTAGTGCATTAAATCTTTTTTTTTTTTTTTGGCCTTGCTTCATGGCTTACAGGACCTTAGGTCCCGGACCAGGGATTGAACCAGAGTCCCTGGCAGTGAGAGCATGAAGTCCTAACCACAGGATCACTGGGGAATTCCCTAGTGCATTAATTATTTTTTTTAAATTTATTAATTAATTTATTTTTGGCTGCACTGGGTCTTCATTGCTGCGCACAGGCTTTCTCTAGTTGCGGCGAGCAGGGGCTACTCTTGGTTGCGGTGCGTGGGCTTCTCATTGCGGTGGCTCTAGGCACGTGGGCTTCAGTAGCGTGGCACCCAATCTCAGTAGTTGTGGCTCGTGGGCTCCAGAGTGCAGGCTCAGCAGTTGTGGCGCACGGGCATAGCTGCTCTGCGGCATGTGGGATATTCCCGGACCAGGGCTCGAACCTGAGTCCTCTGCATTGGTAGGCGGATTCTTAACCACTGCGCCACTAGGGAAGTCCCTAGTGCATTAGTTCTTGAAACCCCGGTGAACAGCCCAGGGTTGGGCCCAGATCGGATTCCTCATAGTTGTGGAATGCGTAACGCCATTTGGTGCGGGTAGAAACTGTGAGCCCTGTAGATGTGTGGAGGTGAGAGAGGATTCCCTTCCAAGCTGGTGGTGACTGATGGCTGCCTGAAAGAGGTGGCAGCTGAACTGGGCTTTGAAGGATGGGTAGAATCCGGGGAGAAGGGAGGGTGTCACAGGTGCATGGGTATGCGTGTTGAAGGCGTGTGTGTACATTCAGAGAAAAGTAATACCTACTCACATAACCTGCTGTTCTGAGGGCTTCACTGGAGAAGGGGCCTCAAGTGCCAAGTGAAGACTCTTCTGGAGTCTTAGGAGAGAGGGAGCCCTTCACCTCCATCAGAGGCTCCTCCCAGGGGCAGGGGTCCACAGAGCTTACCCACAGATAAGTCCTGACTTGCTGCAGCTCTCTGAGCCTCAGTTTCCTCGTCTGTCCCCAGCCCTCCCCCCAGCTCCGCAAGGCATCTGGGATGCCACCCTCTCTGCCGCTCCCTCCGCCTTCCTCTCGTACCCCAGTGCAGGCCTGGTGGAAGGTGGGTGGGTGGCTGGTGTCATGGCAACAAGCAGGAGCGCCCATGTGTCTGGGTAGTGAGGGTTGCCATGGCAACCTGCGGTCCTGGTTCCCTGGCGACAGGCCTGAGTTCTGGGCCTAGGGGTGGGAAGGGAGGGAGGGAGGCGTCCCTGGAGACACTCTGCAAGATCTTGGAGGGAAGAATGGGGACTCATGCCTCTCTCTTCTGTGAGGGGGGCAGGTGCAGGCCAGATCCCAGCTGAGGATTGCTTAAGTCAGATCCCAGCTGAGGATTGCTTAAGTCCCTGCTTGGGGCCAGGTGTGAGCCCAACAGGGAAACTGAAGTCTCCAGGGGTCCTGTATCACGTGATGCTGCCCACCACCCCCTTCACACCCAGTCCCACCAGGTTCCTGTGGCTCCTACAGTCCCCACACAGTCTGTTCCCTCTGGCTGGAAGACTCTGATCTCTTCCTAGCCAACTTTTCAGCCCGAATGTCTCTCCTTGATCTCATGGCTCAGCCCAGCCCCCCTAAATCACTACGCCCCAGCTCAAGCCTCTATCATGTTGAAAATTAAGTTATTGCTTCTTTGCTTGTGTGATGATTGGTTTAATAAATGATGCGACACTGTAGCAGTCTCGGTCACAGCTGTGTCCCACACATTGAGGAGGCTGCTCTCAATACATCTTTGTCAACACGCTCCCTCCTAGCTCCAAGCCTTGCCCATGTCAACCCAGCCAATGTGGTCTCACCTCTGTTCCTCAGGCTCTTTCAGGCACCTGGCTTGATCCATACACATTACCTCCACCTGGAATATTCTGGAACATTCTGGGCCCTTCCACAATGTTCTGGAATGTCCCAGAACACCCTAGAACATTCTGTCTCCTGCTTTATTAAAGCTGGGACATCACCTCCTCAAAGGGGCTCTCCCCAACCTTCTGGTTAAAGCAGTCCTTACCCGCTCGGTCACTCTCAGCCCATTGCCTTCATGGCAATTATCACATCTGGAAAGATCTTGGCCATTGATTGGTTTATATGTCTCAGGTT